CACTCCACCTGCAACACAATGCGCCCAAGCCCACCTGGCAGCCCGATGCTTGGCATTCAGGAAGGGGACCTTCCTACGAACCCTAGCATGAAGTCCTTCCTCGTGCAAGGCACGGCAAACAGTCCGGTGATAAGCCTCAGGATCGTCTGACCTCCGAAAACACGGACTCAGCACATCGTACAAGCCCTCCGGAGCTTATCCGACACAGCGCTCACGCACCTCTAGGCTTCCATGGGCTCTAAAGAATTGCTCTATTTAGCTCCGGACTTCCTAGCATCCTTGAGGCGTTGATAAGCCCCAGCGATCTTCTGACCCCCGAAATTGCGAATTTGACACACCATACACCCCCTCCAAAGTTTATTCGACACCACCTGTCGAACCTCTTACGCGACAAGTAACCGACGAAGGGTTCTGGATTTAATTCCGGACCTTCTAACGTCCTCAAGGCAGGCGCAGATCACCGAAATGATTTAGCTCCGCTGCCAGACGCTCCGAAGTCACCCGGAAGAATATCTTTGTGACTAATTATCTCCGGGAACGGCGGAGGCCCGCGTCGCAGTGAGTCATTGGTATTACCACTCCCCAGTCATCACTCCCCTTCGTTTCCGTCAAAGCGACCGAGTCAGCGGACGTAAATCGACGGCCGGACGGAACGTATCAGTCAGCAAGCGGCCGGAGCTAATCCGCACGTGATCAGCCTGCAGTACCGCGTGATGAGGCACTTCAAGCGAGCATTGACGCGTCGAGGCTACCTCTAGGACCTAGGACGAGCATGTGGAAACACGGCAGGAGCGTATGGGACATGGTATAGCGGTGGGCAAAGGCTGAGTAATTATGTGGGATGCGGAGCATATTTGTTATTTAACTCCGGGCGGACGCAAAACCATTCCAATAGCATAAAAATGTATAGAGCGTAGTGGAAAATGCAAGTTTTGTACTTCACCCCTCAGCGTACCAGAATTATCGTCTCAGCGACCCTCGGAGTCCCTTCGCGTCGGACTTAGCGTCTACAATCAACCCTAGCTTTGCCAATAGGCCGGACTCGTCGAAACTAGATAACTCCGCCATCGTATATCGATCCAAGTAAGCTCCGGATTTAAAGTATAAAATTCACCAAGCGTCTGTAGGCACGAGACTATTGTTCGGGTTCAGTGGAACCCCCCACCCGGGTTACTGTCGAACTTCGGAGATAAATACTCCGGAGAATCGCTATACTGTTTGTTTCAGGCCTCAAGATTTTGTTTGTTTTAGGTTTTCCTACGGGCTACCCTACGGCGTCTAACTTCTCCCCCTCCCTTCGAACTTAAATATTACCCTTCAATCGCCTTAGACCGCCTACACCCATACCGCTGGGTGTTTTAGGTTTTATTTCTTTTGGTCTTTGGTGTTGTCGTGTGTTAGTGCCTATCAGCGTACACGGACCCATTCTGTGATTTATCTCCACAAACAGGAGCTCCAGAGCGACTTAACCAATGCGACTTCCAGATGAATTAGCTCTGGGGCCTGCGAACACTTCTATCGAGGGGTATCGTCCTCATGCCCAACCTCCAGCACTCACTCCCCCTCGTTTCCATCAAAATACCGAAGGTGCGGACGCATACGAGTCACCATGAGGCCAGCATCAGTCAGCAAGCGGCCGGAGGTAATTAGCACGTGACCGGCGCGTCACACGGAGTGATGGGACCGCTTGGATCAGGTGGCAGAGCGTCAAGGCGACCTCTAGGGGCTGGGACGAGCAAGTGGGAGTGCAAGAGAGTCGTATGGTGTATGGTATAACAGCGGCAAGTGATGAGCAATCCTGTGGGTAGCAGCGTTTATTTGTTATTTAGCTCTGGACGGTCGCAGAGCCATTCCTGTAGTGTAAATTGTACAAAGTAGCGTACAGAAAAACAAGTTTTGCACTTCACCATCTCAGAGAATTAGCGTTACAATCTCAGCGACCCTCGAAGTGTGAAAGCGTCAAACTTAGCGAATTATAACTGATCCTAGCTTTGCCAATAGGCCTGACTCATCGAGTGAATTATCTCCGCCATTGATTTAATTATCTCCGGTCAGTCCTACATAGTGAAATAAAATTAACCAAGTCTCTCTAGCAATTTCTACCACCGCGGGCACGATCCTACAACAGGTGTCGTTGCTTGCGACTTTGATTGTGACTTTTTGGAGATAAATACTCTGGAGCGTCAACTAGCATTTGTTTCAGGTGTCAAATTGTTTGTTTTTAGGTCTTCCTACGGACTACCCTATGGTGTCTTACTCCTCCTTTCCCCCTCGAACTATTAAATACCCCTCAGTTGTCTCGGACCGCATTCACCCATATCACGGGGTTTAGGTTTATTTCTTTTGGTCCTTGGTGATTGTTGAGTGTCAGTGCATATCACCGGGCAGTGACATGTTCGAAGTAGTTGTCCGGCAGGTCGACGGCATTACGGCACCAGCCTCTGTCAAGCAACTGGGCAGCAAATTTGCCGTCCTGGGGTGTGAGCTTCCTCGGACGGCCTGATTGTCATCAGCTTTGTAGTGATGCCGTGGTCCGGCTCGGTCCAATTATTTGCCCAAATTTCCGGACCTGGGACTGGACCCAAGGTCCAGTTTGGGTGAATGTCCGGACCATGAACCTCAAAGAACCCGAAGTGGCGTTGGGTTCGGTCAGGTTCCAGTTCAAACGCTTCAAAATTACCATATTTAGGTACAGTTCGGGCATTGTGGCTCTACCTGGACCTCATTTCAGGTTTGGTCTACCCCAAAGCCAGACCGCGGTGATATGCACAGACACACAACAATCACCAAGGACCAAAAGAAATAAACCTAAACCCCGTGATATGGGTGAAGGCGGTCCGAGACAACTGAAGGGTATTTAATAGTTCGAGGGGGAAAGGAGGAGTAAGACGCCGTAGGGTAGTCCGTAGGAAGACCTAGAAAAATAAAACAAAAACCTTGATGCCTGAAACAAACACTAATGGACGCTCCGGAGTATTTATCTCCGGAAAGTCGCAAACCACGGAACCGAGTGTAGGTTCGGGCCCATGGGAGTAGAAAACGCTAAAAGGACTTGTTTAATTTTATTCCGCTATGTGAGACTCACCGGAGCTTATTAAATCGATGGCGGAGATAATTCACTCGACAAGTCAGGCCTATTGGCAAAGCTAGGATTGGTTATAATTCGCTAAGTTCGATGCTTTCGAACTTCTCGGGTCGCTGAGATCGTAACGCTAATTCTCTGAGATGGTGAAGTGCAAAACTTGTTTTTCTGTACGCTACTTTGTACAATTTACACTACAGGAATGGCTCTGCGACCGTCCAGAGCTAAATAACAAATAAACGCTGCTACCCACAGGATTGCTCATCACTTGCCGCTGTTATACCATACACCATACGACTCTCTTGCACTCCCACTTGCTCGTCCCAGCCCCTAGAGGTCGCCTTGACGCTCTGCCACCTGATCCAAGCGGTCCCATCACTCCGTGTGACGCGCCGGTCACGTGCTAATTACCTCCGGCCGCTTGCTGACTGATGCTGGCCTCATGGTGACTCGTATGCGTCCGCACCTTCGGTATCTTGACGGAAACGAGGGGGAGTGAGTGCTGGAGGGTGGGCATGAGGACGACGCCCCTCAATAGAAGCGTCCGCGGGCCCCGGAGCTAAGGCATCTAGAAGTCGCATTGGTTAAGTCGCTCCGGAGCTCCTGTTCACGGAGATAAATCGCGGAATGGGTCCGTGTACGCCTCGAGGATGCTAGGAAGTCCGGAGATAAATAGAAAAATTCTTTTAGAGCCCATAGAAGCCTAGAGGCATGTGAGCGCTGTGTCGAATAAGCTCCGGAGTGCTTGCACGATGCGCTGAGTCCGCATTTTCGGGGGTCAGACAATCCTGAGGCTTATCAACGTCTCGACAAGCTCCGCCGCATGACGAAGGGCAAGCCCAATGCGCCAGCCCAGGAGGAAGCAGCAGCAGCAGCAGCAGCCCCTGCTCTCCCCACTGCGGCTCTGTGCACTCCGCCGCCGCCGGAGGGTTTCGCGGAGACCCACCGCCCCCACCCGACGTCCCCGTATGACAACCTCCTCACAGAACAGCTCAACCGGTGGCTGGAGTGCGAGCCGCCGGAGGGGTTCATGAAGATCTTAGCCCGACCCGCCAACTGCGACTCCCGCGCCCCTGCCCTCGCCGACGAGATCATTGGGAGTGCCTTGACCAAAACCTTCCTAGAGCTGATGGGACCCAGTGACCCAGCCTGCGCGAACCTGCGCATCACGCCACCCATACCCGCCGACGAAAAGGCCCCACTGCCGATGGTGTGGCTGGTCCTGGTCCCCATCGACCTCGGGCGGCGCCTCCTGGCTCAGTGCGTATGGAGCTTCACCAGGATAACCTTCCTCGCCTTTCGCCTGCTCGATATGATATCGATATCATTCGCCTGCCCAGGCTGCTACTACCACTACAAGGTTTCGCCATCCATGCCACGACCGAGACTGTTCTCTCTGCCGTTCTCCGACGCCTGTGAGGGGTGGAAGTCATGCTCTCCCTAGTGATGAAGAGTTATGGAGGCAGCAGCACGCACAGTGCGCCCTACACAACTCACCTGTATTGGTTGGATGCTGTAGCTACTGGTAAAGCTCGTATAAACGACCCTTGTCATTAGGCAGCAGAGCTGCAGGGTTTATATACACTGTGGCCCATAGGCTGACTAAGCTACGTGGAATATCTATAATCCTACTGAGCTCCACCTATGATGTCACTGACCCACATGAGCTCCATTCCCTTGTACAATAATGGAATATACCAGAATGTTCCAGAGAGTTCCGGTACGTTCTGGTACGTTATAGAACCTGGCAGCTAAGTCAGCGCCTAGTTCAACACCTAGCCCACATCGTCCAGGAAGACATTGAAACTGACAACGAACTCGAAACATACTCGTACACCTCCTACATCCTCGACTGCCTTAGCGTCCGACGAATCGCCTCGAAGGTATCCGGCGGCGGTGATGCCGCAATCTGGCTCTTGTGTCTCGATGATGATATCTTCACGTCGATCGAGCAGTGGATTGAATTTAGGAAGGAGCTCGCCCAGATGACCTACCCCCACCTTGACGACGGGGTGGGGCGGCCATTCTTCCCGCGCCCCTGCGCTATCTGCGGATGCGCGTCGCACTCAAGTGGGCTCTGCCCCCTCCCCTCGCTCCCCGGCTGGCTCGGCCCGGACAGCGACACCATTGGGCTGCAGCAGAAGATGCCCCCGTTCGGCTTGAAGGAGAGCGTTGCACTATACGAGGGATTCGCACCCCACAAGATGCATAGGCTGGGCCTTGGCGGCCGAGCCCGAGGTGGTGCATCCTCCCGCAGTGGACGCGGCGGGAGAGGACACGGACGAGGACGCGGATACTAGATGGACTGCGGCCGCATATCCACAAAAGGGCTCCGAGCCCGTTGAACACTATGGTGTCAAAAGAGCCGCCCATGCTCATATTAGGTAGCGCCCCGCTCCTCCTTCTGATTTCCTTCTTGATTCTATGTCTAACCATCCTCCTGAGTCTCCTTAACTACAAAACGCGCATGCTCCTGCTACCTCCCTGACTAATAGCCCCCCCTGCTCAAATTCAAATATATTACCATGTACCTGTAGGATAATACACGCATATGCTACTGGTGAACAACAGACAGTAACCATTGCGTGCACTCAGAGCTGCCTATAAACATCCCCGCCACATGCAAGCGGACGCGACGACCACAGTTCCGTGGCGCCTAGTACCGCCCGGAGGCTGGCGACCAAGGACATTCTCGGACGTGCTGCACAGGCGTCCTATACCTACCCGCCCAAATATACTGACCGCTAGCGGGACAGGAAAGCAGAGTAGGACAGCAGCACAACACCTGGCAGTGTGCCTACGGCAACCTATTTAGGTCCGGATGTGCTGTGCGGAGACGCTGAAGCGACGGACGGTAACGCGCCCTTCTTACTAGGGGAATGGCATGTGAACCACCCAAGCATAGTCCACTGAGGTGACCGGTAAATGCCACCCTACCCAGACTGATTGTCATACGCCCGGGGCAGTAGTCCGACACCTGCTTCACAAATACAAATTCAACCCCCTACGTCTGGTTTACAACTCGGTAACGGAATACTCCTCCCCGGGGGTAGAGCGCGTGGGGAGCCAACCGCCCAAACCATGCGTGAGGACACCCCGACGGAGCACGGTGGCGGACCCGCTACGGCGGACAACCAGACACAGCCTAGACAACGGCTTGCTTGAAATGAGCATAATGACGACCGGGCATCGACCCATAACAGACGCGAGACTCCCCGCACCAGCCGTAACACGCGTGCACACATCACTATTGCCTCCCTAAATATGCGGGGACGCCACTCCCCCGCCGCAGGACCCAGCCCAACATCAAAGTGGAACAGTGTCCACGCCCTTCTACGTGAGCAGCGTATTGGCATCCTTGCACTCCAAGAAACCCACTTGAATGATGCCATGCTGGACGATGTCCAGAACCTGTATTCCAGGCGACTACAGATATACCACTCCCCGGACCCTGACCGCCCGACTGCCTCAGCTGGTGTGGCTTTCGTACTCAACCGTGAGATCACCAGCACTAGCAATGTCTCTGTCAAGGAAATCGTGCCAGGCCGAGCGCTACTACTCACCACAACTTGGCATGCCTCTGACACCATCTCAATACTCAACATCTATGCCCCAAATGACTATGGCACCCAACGTGACTTCTGGCAAAGCATCCAAAACAGATGGGAGACTGAGGACCTCCCCCATCTGGACTTTATGGTTGGGGACTTCAACCTTGTTGAAGACCCAATAGATCGATCCCCTCCCCACGCCGACCCGCAACCCACCGCCGATGCACTCCGTGACACCCGGATGACGCTAGGCCTTGTTGCTGCATGGTGCACCGACAACCCATCAGAACGACGGTACACCTTCTATAGCAGTCTTAATAGATTCTCTAGGATAGACAGAATCTACTCACGCACCAACCACGTACCCAAACTGTCTGAATGGTACATGGGCCCATCAGTCACCCCCACCGACCACAACTTGGTGTCCGTGAGATACGCACCAGCGAATGCTCCATACATTGGCCCGGGCAGATGGGCATGGCCAGCGGGTCTGATCCACGAGGAAGCCCTCCTACAGCATATTACTCAGCTTGGACGTGAAACAGAAGCACAAGTAGAGGCACTGGGGGATGCACCCGCTGACCCGACCCTCATCCAGCTGCTCTGGGAGCAGTTCAAGATTAAAAGCAAAGAATGTGCTAAAAAACATGCTAAACTCACACTAGCCAGGATGAACAATCGAATACGCGCCCTGCAAAGGGACCTGGATGCTGCGATCAATGACCCTAACATGGACACATCAGAGAATGCACGCACGAATGCCGCGATACTAGAAAGCGAACTCAACCACCTTGCGAAGAAGAGGTTTGCTGCAACCCTAGCACACGGCCAAGCAAAATGTGCACTTCACGGAGAGACTCCCTCCCGCTACCTATCCCGAGTCACAGCTCCTAAAAAGCCATGTGATGTCATACCGCGCCTGACTGTGCCAGGCTCCTCATCGAAGACCTAAGATAGGGCCAGTCCATACACGACTACCTTGGTCACACCGTGACAATCACGTGTTTTGCCTATATATGGCAGGTCAGTGTAAGGAAATCGAGGAGATCATCGATAGAAATCACCACTGTCGAGCTTATTATAATTTCCATGGGTCGAGATCCTCAAATGTTTTTTATAGGAACTGTTTGTATGTACTGTATCTTTGATTCCTATAAAAAACATCTGTGGTTTTCTACCTGTGCCCAAAGTTATAAGACCGACTTCGTGCTTTCCCCGCCAAGTGTGACAAAAATAGTCACGTGATAGTAGTCGTACATGAGCTGGCCCTATCTTACGTGACCCGATCTGATGAGATGGCTGAACTCACTCGGGATTACCACAATGCACTCCAGAATGCTGACAGAGATCGGCACACCCCAGGGGATGTGGCAACAGCGAGAACTGCAGTATTAGACAGCATCCCCACCAGTCAGACCCTACCACTGGTGGAAACTGAAATGGCGAACCAACTCACCGAAGACCAAGTCGAGGATGCCCTGCGCCTCTCCAAAACAGGTACAGCACCAGGCATGGATGGCATCCCCTATGACATCTGGAAGCTACTAGAGATGCGCCATGTAGCGGCAACTAAAGCTCGCCCTAACGCATCATCTTTTAATCTTATACAAATGCTTACAAAGGTCTTCGCCAATATCCAGACACATGGCATTCGCCCCGGCACAGATTTTGCCCTGGGCTGGATGTGCCCTATCTTTAAGAAGAAGGATCGTACTGATGTTGCCAACTACCGGCCTATCACCCTACTCAACACTGACTACAAAATTATGACTAAAGCCCTAGCGCTCCAATTGGCAACTCACATAACGCTTGTCCATGCGAACCAAGCTGGGTTCGTGCCAGGACGCTCCATCTTCGACCAAGTTCGTCTCTCCAAAGCCATGATCAACTTTGCTGAAGCAATGGAGCAAGACGGTGCTATCATTGCCCTTGATCAAGAGAAAGCATATGACAAGATTGAGCACACCTACCTCTGGCAGACCTTAGAACACTTTAATCTACCGCCACTCTTCACCACCACAATCCGCTCCCTATATGAGTCAGCGCATACCATTTCCCGTATCATAACGTGGATGACCGACTTTCGTTTGGTCTTATTTGCCCTTCATCCTAGCCGACTTAGTTCTCTTGCCGCCCTCAAGTTATATATACGATCTCGCTTCCTACTCCTCCTCTGCTCCCTACCCTACCGTCGCTTAATCGTAAATCATATACTTCGCTCGGTCTTCTCTTTGTACCTCTTTGCCCTGCTGTACTTGCTCGGTTTTTGCTTTGATGATGTTTGTATCGTAACGGGTATATATGATGCAACTGGATCTCGTTCCAAGCACCAACAGCACTGCGAGTCTATTGCTCTGGGTATGTCATCGTTTCTCATCCTTGGACTGTTTGCTCTGTCGGCTGGCAAACATGTCGTCACCAGTCGGCCTGCGCCAAACAGTGACAAGACGACGTCCCATATTCTGTACGGCACGTCATTGAAGCTCACTGATCAGACCTTAGTCCCTGCTGAGCTGCGTGTGTGGGCTCTGAAGTCAACGCCCATTCTGCCTGATGACACCGTCGTATTCTTGCTCGCAAAGGCTTGCTCGCCTGCAGATGCTACTGCTGGCACTGTTCTCCTGGATTCGTTAGTTATGCAAGCATTCCCTGGCGACCCCGACTCCGAATCTTACGATGACCATCTCCCTGACGGTCTCGTTCCCTGGGCAATTGCGATCGGCCGTACGCTGTCTCAAACACGACCCTTGGGTGATGGTGTATCGAAGGGATTTGAGATCACCGTCAGCGAGTACGTTCGAGACGAAGCACGCCAATCAGGCCTGCAGTGAGTACTTTGTAGCCACCTATAACAAGTACTAAGTCTTTGCACTAGCTGCATATTCGATGGCTCCACTGCTAGATGGGCTCGAGCGCCCACGCCCTTCGTTAACACCACGCTCCAAGTCCTCGGTCCTGTCCACTCTATCCACTCAAACGGCATGCTCTCCATCATGATTGAGCATCTCACTCTCAGCGTCTCCCTGCAAAACAGCACTACTGGCAATACTGCAGGTACCGGAAACACCACAGCGGATGGTGGCAGTGGTGACGCTGCTTTGCCTTCTACACCAAGTCCTTCAAAGAAGCGGAAGTTTGCGTCTCTTCCGCGAACACCTTCATCTGCAGGTACGTGATGCCCTTGATCTGTTCGCCCACATCTACTCATGATATCTCTCCAGCTCCACGCAGTATCTCGTCTAGCCCTGCCGCCCCTGTTGCCGGGCCTTCCGGTTCGAATAACCTTCAAGCTTCATCTGCCCCTGCTCCCGCGCCCCGTTCTTCCGCTCTTCCCAACTTTGACCCCGCTAGCGTCTTGGCGCTCTTACAGGCAATGCAGAACGGCACTCAAGTGCCTTTGTCAGTAACAACATCCCCGATCACTCCACTCAACAGATTGAGCTTCGAGCACACCGCGCCTTCGGAAACTGCTGATGCTGTAGTTCCTGACCGCTCCAGTGATGCATCCTGTCCCGCTGAGTCAGTCAAGGGCCGTACGCGGAAGGTTGCATCAAAGGGGAAGGGGAAGGCGAAATGATTAACGTGGTGAGAGTTATTCCATGTTCACCTTTCAGCTGATAGTGCTATACATGTAGTGTCCGCATGATCAAGGATGGTAGCGAGATACACGAAGTCCATCTAGACTGACTCGGGCTTTCATCTATCTGTATGAATAGATAGCCTATTTCAAATCTATGTCTGCATGCCTCATGTTGAATATTCGTCGTTTGCTGTCTCTTGCGACATACCACAGCCTTCTTCATGCCTACAATGTATCATCTTGCTGCATAATGTGATGAGTGAAAGGCAGCTACGCACGCCTACCAAATGAAAGACTTGGGCTACGTACGCAGATGTGGCGCAACACGCGCTGTTAAACAGCAGATAGCGTGGGTATCCCTCAGAGCGCCTGACACACACCTACATATATACACGTCGTTTGGTCCTCCTTCTGCCGCATACATTGTACCGTTTTGAACAACCTTCGACTGTTCTTTCTCCGCATCCATACTGCCACTGCCCTTCACGCGACCCCGACCATGGGGACCGGCTGGGTGGTAGAGGTATTGGCGTTGGGCACTGTCCGATCGTTCAGCCATACACAGCGCGTCCAATGCTCAAACTTGCTGTTACAAGCACAGTACAAGACAATTGAATATGCTCAGTCTACTCTCTTCCGCATCGACCCCTCACAACCTCTGCACTATTGCGCCCCCATATCTGTTTATGCCATCCGTATGGATGTCTCCATGACCCTTCCCTTGCTGCGATCATGCGACACTCTGCATAAATTTTTCTAAGACGTGAGCACAGCCATCTTCATAATAGACGTTATGGCGGACCTCTTCATGACTTTCAGTACGACATGTTTATCTCCACCCCTCATGTTCACCAAATGGCGACCTCGGCACGCTCTCTGAAAGATGAAAATATCACCAATCCAATCTCTCTGAAGAAGGCACCTAATGGTCCTGTTCCTGCGCAGACCATGGCACCCATCTTGCGTGTCCACGTAGAAGACGACAAATGTGTCGGTCCTGCACACAACATGCTCTGAACGAACCGGAACATATTCGGGCAGCAAGCCCTCAAATCGAGGTATGGTGATGCCATCATTGATGGCATGCTGTTCAGCAATGAGATGGATAGGGCGGCGGGCTCCTCGGGCAGGGATATGGTATGCACGGAGAGACTGCGATGTGGTGCGTCTTTCAGCCATAGCAGCGGCTTTCTGCGAGTCGAGCTACTGACGGTTGGCCTTGACAGTAGGCTGCAGTATCATTGAATTCTTATCTTCCCGACACCCTTATGGGCTCCCTCCGCATCTTCGCATGCATCAATGTACACCTCAAGCGATATTGGTGATGCTTCATGTAAACAGTGACAAACTAATATGCGACCATATCCCTCGGCTGTTTTGAGGTTACTCCACTATTGTACATCTCCCTCATTACCAGCCAATCACATTTCGGGATGGCAAACATCTATTGCCGACATCTAATGCTCATATTACAACCCCTGAAACACCAGTGCATGCTTCGTAACCACCTGCCAGTGGGTTCCTCATCAAGTCTGATAGTCACACAGATGGTACACTATTTCAATGCACATCCTTGTATCATCATCCTCACCACTTTTCTGTCCGCCGTTGTGCCCAATGTGCAGAATACTCCACAGCATCTTCTATTGGATTCGGCAAATGCTGACCGCTACTCGCAGCCCTGCTGCCCAATCGCCAGCATACATTGAGCAACAGTCGCGAGGCGCTTTGCATGCATGTCTGAAGGACGTTGACAGTGCATTCGTTTACTGCATTACTCTATGTCTATGTCTAATGATCATTGCACGGTCTCTGCTTCCATGTGGGGGGTACTCCCACAACAAACAGCAACTGTTCGTCTCACCTTCGTCATCCCAATCTCGCTCTAATCTCGATTGTCTTCCCAGATTTTTGACCCCTTGAAACCTGCTCCTTCATGGGCTTCTCTCCTTGACTTTAAAAGAGTAAGTCACCCGTCATCATCTGCTCCTATATTACCAATTGATTTGCTTTCCTTGAAGCGGCTCCACGCCGATCTCCGGCTTGATTCAGCCCCAAACTGCACGACAGAACCCAGTCAGGACTATGGAGATGTACGTCCCGACGTCCATTCTAGAACATCTCTTTTTAGCTTTATTTATCAGCTTCACGACCTTCCTGCACTTGAGTCCCTCTCCGGCAGTGAAAGCTGTAATACTCAGGCTTGCGACGACATTTCACCTGTTTCTTGACGCACTCTTCTCTATATTACACATTACACGGCACAACGGAACAACTAAGTCTCGTGCATCTACCATTGATATTGCTATTCATCTGTACGGAGAATGGCTATAATTGTTACTCTGACTGTGTATATTGACCAATATTGATATTGAAAGATGTCGGACACTACAAATACTTGGTCCATTGTTGGAATCTCTACACCTACTCTGCGCTGGAACAGAACATGTTCGCGCTGCGGTGTTGCTCTCTTGACCAACGAGCGTTCAGACTTCTGTTGTGGCAGGAATGGCTCCCGTTTGCAAGACGTCCAGCGACTCCCACCTCTTCCTGACGAGTATACATCACTCATCCGTCATCCACGCATCTCTGAACTTTCACGGAAGCTCAATCTGATCTTCTCCTTCGCATCCATGGAAACGACAATGAATTTCCCTCCAGGTGACGGAATGGTCGCAGTGCAAGGCAAAGTCTATCACCGGATCCGTCCCGGCCATGACAGCTCCAGCATACGCTGGATTCTATACGACGGCATGCTCAAAGACGCTGCACCTCATGCCTCCTACATGGAAGACATGCTGCTGGGTTGGGTTTCGGCAGTCGCTAAAGCATTGCTTCGTGTTAACCCCTTCGCTCGCGCGCTCCGGTACCTTTCATACATTCCTGTGAATATATGTCCTTCCGCGGGAATTGCTCTCGAGGACACTGGGACCGCTGCCGAGATTGCAGCAATATTTGTATGGGATAATACTGTCATGGCCGACATTCGCAGCCGCCGCATTATTGTGAATAGGGAGGACACCAGCGTGAACATACCCATCCCGACGGTTAGCCGCCTGTGGGAACCCCTCGCATACCCTCTCCTTTTCCCTCACGGAACGCTTGGATGGGGAGTTGTCGGTGATGGAAGAGATTTACGGCATGACCAGCGGGAGCACGGTCTCCTCAGTGCCGAACATGACTCCCCGACATCTCAGATTTGGCACTATCGGGCTCGGCTCCTGCGAGAGGAACGTTTCCATATATTCGGACGCCTTGCGAATGAGTATATCGTTGATATGTTCACCAGGAATTTGGAATGTCGCTTGCAATATATTCGTCATAATCAAGAGCGCATCCAGCAGGAAGATGCAAGCCTCATGGGCGTCGGAGAAGTAAGATCCACAGAAAATATCTATCTCCCCTCCTCCTTCTTGGGCTCCCACCAGTGGGCTTCCAAGCAGATTTCGGACGCCCTAGCGATTGCCGCTGTACTGGGCACCCCTACGTTCTTCGTTACCATGACGTGCAATCCGAAATGGCAAGAAATTCAAAGCCAGCTTTGTCCCGGCCAGAAGTGGCAAGATGTACCCGTCATCGTAGCGCGAGTCTTCAAACGAAAATTACATCGGCTACTTCATGCGCTGAAGTCCATGTTCCCCAACGCCGGAAGCCGCACGTACATGATCTACTCTGTGGAATTTCAAAAGTGCGGTTTGCCGCATGCGCACATCCTGATCAAGTACACAAATGAATGTATCAACCCTGAAGACATCGATAATGTTGTGTCGGCGGAAGTTCCCAATAACCCGGAACATGCGGCAGTCGTACGCGAGTTCATGCTTCACAACCACCCCAATACGCCAGAGCGATTACCACCATACTGCGACCCCAGAGCAACTCGAAAATGCCGATTCAACTATCCGCACCCGCTTCAATCCCAGACAACCGTCGACGCTGAAGGACGGGTGCATTACCGCAGGCGAAAGCCAGGGGATGAATGGGTGGTGCTGCACTGTCTTCCTTTATTGATCAAGTTCCATTGCCACATCAATTTTGAGGTAGCAAATACCTCCCAGATCTTTCAGTATATCTTTAAATACATCCACAAAGGTATCTTATCCCCCTCTCCCCTACAATATGTTACTCATCACTAATATATGAATTCCGCAGGACCAGATCGGACCCGCTTCCGGGTTTTCGATGCTGATCAACCCGAGCCCATAGATGAGATTGAAGACTACTGGAAGGGTCGGTATCTCTCCGCAGGTGAAGCCTGCTGGCGAATCCTCGGCTTCCATATAACGTCCAAGGATCCCGCTGTCACGCCGTTGCCAGTGCACCTATCAGGCAGTCGACATCGCCACCAATATCACCGGCGTGACGGGAATCACAGCACATTATCCCTTCTCGATCGATATTTCCTCCGACCGGCCGGTATTTTTGAGAAGCAGGGGGTCGTCTCCAGATTCGACGACTTAACCTACACAGAGTATTATAGGCTCTTCTATCTCGAACAATTCAATGTCGCGCGTCTTGGCCAACCTCATGTTTTTACCGAAGAGCGACCTCCGCCCGGACAAAAGCAGATGTTGGTAATCCAGCGCCAGGACGTCAACGCCCATATCAGCCGTATCATACCGGTGAAGCCATCGAAGGGGGAACTCTTCTATCTGCGCACGCTTCTGGCCCATCGCCCTGCAAGGTCATTCGATGACCTCCGGACGTCTGAATTTGGTCCTATTTATAACACATATCAAGAAGCTGCCATAGCTGCGGGAATCTTCTCAGATGACAATGAAGCAGTCTACGCCCTTTGTGAAGCTGTCAATGCCCGATACTCTCCCAGACAGCTTCGTGTGCTCTTTGTCCATTTGCTTATCAACGACTGCTGTCCGTCCGCCCTCCAGATCTGGCATACATTTGCACCCGACCTTCGCTTCGACTACTTTCTGCAGACCGAATACAATGCTCCGCTGGCCGAGGAACTGACTCTACAAGAGATAGGTCACTATCTCGAAGAGTACGGGAAGCAACTCATAGACTATGGCTTACCCCAACCAGAAGTCCGATCTCGAGAGGTGCTACACGAGCTCCAACGCTGGGGCGCCAACCCTGACATACTCCTGGAACGCGCTCAGAACGCTATCAGCCACTTCAACCCAGGTCAGATGGCCGTCTTCACCACCATCCATGATGCCATCATCCGCAACGAGCCTTTCTATGCGTTCGTCGATGGTAAGGCTGGCTGCGGTAAGACATATCTCGTGAATGCAATATGTGACTGGCTTCGTGGATCAGGTCAGATCGTGATCCCGACTGCAACGTCCGCGTTCGCCGCTCAGCTGTATCCGGGCGGCAGGACAACTCACTCAGCATTCAAGGTATTGCAACTTTGTCACCTCAACTCTCCTTCAATATCTAACACGCATTGTCTCTCAGATTCCTGTGAACGAGAATAGTGAAATGTTACAGTCTCCAGTCGAGTTTCACAGTCCCCGCGGGGAGTTAATTCGTCACACGCCCGTCTACACTTGGGATGAAGCGCCGATGGCAAATCATGCCGTAGCAGCTTGCGTCGATGAGACCATGCGACGGGCAACAAACTCTGCCACGCCGTTTGGTGGGAAAGTCTTCATCCTTCTCGGAGACTTTCGTCAGACCTGCCCAGTCATACGGCGCGGCACCAGGCAGCAGGTTGTTGACGCCTCTATTCGGTTGTCACCTCTCTGGCCGTATTTCAATGTATTCCATCTCACGCAGCCTGTTCGCAATGCCGCAGACCCCGAGTTTTCACACTTCCTCGATGGTATCGGGGAAGGTGCAGGCCCTGAAGTGCTAATATCCATGATCCCGACTACGACATCTATGGATGAGCTGATAGACTTCGTCTACCCGCCAGCAGTCTTGGCTGATCCTGCTGCATGTCTCCGACGTTCCATCCTCGCCCCCACGAACCGCCAGGTCGACGCCTACAACAGCGTAATGCTTGACCGCATTGTTGGACCTCACCGAACGTACCTTGCAGCCGACTCTATACAAGAAGTAGAAGAAGCCGAAACGACAGTCACGCCGGATAGCCTGTTAGACTATGTTGTGCGTCAATGCCCTCCCGGCTTACCCCCTCATACACTCGATATCAAAATTAACGGTGTTTTCCGTCTGATGCGCAACCTGTCTCTGGACAGGGGTTTAGTGAAGAATGTTCGAGTAGTGGTAGTTGACCTGGGACTTCGCCTGGTGACGGTTCGACTGTTGCAACAAGATGTCCAAGGCAACGAAATTCAAGTAGAAGACATACTTATTCCTCGCATCTCCTTCTCACATCAACTACCTTCTGGCCATACCCTTCTTCGACGACAATTCCCCCTCGCTCCCGCATATGCAACTACTTTCAACAGCTGCCAAGGGCTCACCCTGGACAAAGTCGGTATCGACCTCACACGCCCCGTCTTTTCACATGGCCAACTGTACACGTCCTTAACACGCATTCGCACTCGCAATGATGGTATGGCCAGACTCAGACCCGGTGAGACCACGACGATCAATGTAACATATCGAGAACTCTTACTATAGTATTGTCTCGTATAAATAATTTAGAACTACTGCAGATATAGTTCCTCAGTAGCCGCGTCGCGAAGCGCCGCGGCGACGCTTGTGGTAATGATAAATGGAACATTCAGCTCACGTTTCCAAGTCACCAGAGGGGTACAGCAGGGCGACCCACTCTCATGCCTGCTCTTTGACCTTGCAATTGAGGCTCTTGCGTGTCTCATACGTTCCTCTGAAAGGATACATGGATTTAAGATCCCTGGATTAATAGACGAAATCAAACTAACCCTCTTTGCTGACGATACTACTGTGTACCTGCCAAAAACGGCAAGGCTACACAATCTAACTGAGTCCCTCTCCATGTGGTGCACGGCCTCTGGAGCAAAATTCAACACTGAAAAAACGGAGATTATACCCATAGGCTCCAAAATGCACCGGCTCACTGTCCTTGCCACACGCCGCCTGCACCAGGACGATGACCCCCTACCAACATCCATACACATAGTCAAGGATGGGGAAGCCATAAGATCCCTGGGGGCTTGGATCGGCAACAACACCAATGATGCAACACCCTGGGAAGCAATAATAGATAAAATTGCACAACATCTGACTTACTTAGCACGGGGTCACCCTACCCTATTCAGCAAAACATACATGGTACAGCAGACTGTAGGCGGTATGACCCAATACCTGGCGAAGGTGCAGGGAATGCCACCAAACATAGTGACTGCCCTGGAAAAACTCATTAGAATATTCATATGGGAAGATGCCGCCACCAACCCCCCTGTCGCCCTATCGCAGCTGTACATGCCAAAAGAGAATGGGGGACTGGACCTCTTGGACCTCAAAGCACGGAACGATGCCATAGAACTGACTTGGTTATGAACGCCTCCAGACCAGCCTGGGCCTTTGTAGTAGATGCACTGCTGAACATCCTGGCCCCCGAAGGGATAGCCACTGAGGCCCTCTTCAACACATTCCTGCAAAAATGGGACGTACCGGGCAAGGGGAAGCGAGCAGCTACCCTACCAACAGATGTCCTGACCATGTTGAAAACAGCCAGAACGTATGGGGTAGCGTTCGCTCCCGCGAAGCTCTCATCCACACTGAAAGCCCAGCTCCCAGCATACTACCTGCTTGGTACCCCACCCCGGACATACGTCTCCACCAAATTCTCTTGCCTACTACATAACCACGCCGCCCATACCATAGGGCACCTGACGTGAGCGTCGAACCGCCTGGGGGGGCCAACTGCCGACAGACCACATCAGCCGCGGTCAAACTGCAGCTGCAAAGCATGCCATGCAGACAGGCGGGATGGATGCATGAACCCCCATAAATGTGCCCAGATTGCGAGGGATATCCTCCAGAACCTGTGTGACAAGATGAATCCATTCAACTGCCCACCACCGGATGACCTCACGCTAATGCACCGGCGAATCGAGAAGAACAGACAAGCCCACACCTCACATAGCGGGATCCTGTTTGACCCCTCAGTAACATCAAGGGACTCCCTTGCTGACTGTTTCCGGGTGTTCTTGGATCTCAGGAAGGTATCCTACTACCCAGCCTACCGCCTCGAACGACCAGCAGCTGGCGTCCATCTAGAACATGAACACCTGACGGTCCATACCAATGGCCACTGCATCCACAGGGGCAAAGCAAATGCAAAAACAGGCAGCGGTGTATTCATCAGCCCCGAAAGCCCCTACAACCGCTCCATACGCCTCGGAGGACCAGCCCAGTCCACCCAGGCAGGGGAGATAGCAGCCATTGTAGCCGCACTCCAGGTGATACCACCCTTCACACCTGTCACGTTTGCCACAGACTCACTCCACGTGATAAATGGGCTCACCAAGAACCTAAACCACTGGGAAGACAGTGGCTGGGTTGGGGTCTCAAACCGTAGCCTGTTCCAGGCGGCAGCCTACCAACTTCGACTTCGGTCTGCTGCCACGTCCTTCTCTTGGGTGGGGGGTCACAACCGAACACCCAGCGGGGCAGCCGCACATGACCTAGCAAAACAAGGAGCAACAAAAACCGAACCTGATGAGCTCGACCTCAACGTACCCCCGGCTTTCAACCCCAAAGGCATGAAACTGTCATGCCTCACCCAGACCCTGGCCTACCGAGCCATCCGCGAGAGAAGAACCCAGGACACAGAGCCACGTACCAAGACAGCCCAGAATATCTCCCGAGCCCTGGACGCTCTACAAGCTGCACTAGGCACTGACGAGACGGAAGCACAACTGTGGCTTGCCTGCCGCAGCAAGAGCATACAACCGTTAGTACGACAGTTCACCTACAAGATATACCACGGCGCGTACCGTATTGGGGACCACTGGGAGCAAATCCCTGGCTACTCAGACCACGCACCCTGCACAGTATGCCGGGATGTCCCCGACAACATGGACCATATCCTGACAGAGTGCAACACACCTGCCCGTAAGATAGTCTGGCTCTTAGCCCAAGACTTATGGCCGGCCAAGAATGGCCCATGGCCGTCCCTCGACTATGGAGCCATCATCGCCCCAGGTACCCTCAAAGTTTACAAGCAACTTGAAAGGCTGCGCCAGGAACGGGGGCCCAACCCAGCCCCGTGCGAAGCACGACAACTCCTCCCTGGGGCCTCCCGCCTCCTCCAAATATTAGTATCGGAATCAAAGCACCTGATATGGACCCTAAGGTGTGAAAGGGTTATAAGGGGGCACACACACTCCCCGTCCAACATTGTCCGCCGCTGGACGACGGCCCTAAACCGACAGCTTAGCATAGACCGAATCATTGCAACCAAGCTGCATAGATCCTCAAAGGCTATACGACTCATACTACGCACATGGGGAGGGACGATAGCTGACGAAGACTCCCTCCCGCCCGACCGGGTCGGGCACAACGGGTTTTTAGTGGGTATTAGAACGCCACGCCTCCTATCCAACGGAGAATCCAGGCGTACTCTCGAGTCCCACACTCCCCAGCGCAAGCTGGGGGTGCATAAAGGCATTTTATCCCGGACCGGGTGGTTCTGAACCACCTGCTATAGCGGCGAACCGGGGCTGCACCTATTGTCAGCTGCCGGGGAGCCTATGCTTGTCCAAAAAAGAAAAATCGCAATCAAAGTCGCAAGCAACGACACCTGTCATAGGATCGTGCTCGCGGTGGTAGAAATTGCTAGAGAGCCTTGGTTAATTTTATTTCACTATGTAGGACTCACCGGAGATAATTAAATCGATGGCGGAGATAAATCACTCGTCGAGTCAGGCCTATTGGCAAAGCTGGGATCTGTTATAATTCGCTAAGTTTGACGCTTTTGAACTTCGAGGGTCGCTGACATTGTAATGCTAATTCTGTGAGATGGTGAAGTGCAGGACTTGTTTTTCTGTATGCTACTTTGTACAATTTATACTACAGGAATGGCTCTGCGACCATACGGAGATAAATAACAAATAAATGCCGCTACCCACAGGATTGCTCAGCACTTGCTGCCGTTATACCATGCACCATATGACTCCCTTGCACTCCCACTTGCTCGTCCCAGCCCCTAGAGGTCGCCTCGACACTCTGCCACCTGACCTAAGCGGTCCCATCACTCCGCGCGATGCGCTGGTCACGTGCTAATTACCTCCGGCCGCTCGCTGACTGATGCTGACCTCATGGTGACTCGTATACGTCCGCACCTTCGGTATTTTGATGGAAACGAGGGGGAGTGAGTGCTGGAGGTTGGGCATGAGGACGATACCCCTCGATAGAAGTGTTCGCAGGCCCCGGAGCTAATTCATCTGGAAGTCGCATTGGTTAAGTCGCTCTGGAGCTCCTGTTTGTGGAGATAAATCACAGAATGGGTCCGTGTACGCCTCAAGGATGCTAGGAAGTCCGGAGCTAAATAGAGCAATTCTTTAGAGCCCATAAAAGCCTAGAGGTGTGTGAGTGCTGTGTCAAATAAGCTCCGGGGGGCTTGTACGATGTGCTGAGTCCGCGTTTTCAGGGGTCAGATGATCCTGAGGCTTATCAGTGCGCCGGGTGGTTTCCATCAACATTCAAAAAGCCGAAGACAGCTTTCACCTTTGTCCTTCTCGACTTTTTCCATGAACTAAGCTTCCAGAGTAAGGTCAATGCCTTCGGCTTCTATCAGACTCTCTTGCAAGTCACAGATGACTCGGGCCTCCTTTCATCCCCTGTAAGTCTTTATCATCTGATCCAAACCACACCATCAATGCTAACAGTTGTTGATTAGTGTGTCTACAAAGATTTTCAGCATTCAGTGCGCCTTTGGTACCATCTGCACATGCTGAAGCATGCCAGACATGGCCATGATCCCAGAGGACCAGATGGGACTTCAGAAGGGGAACTTATGGTCAAATGCCCTGCGTGTCCCCACCCAAATCGAAATTTACCTGAAAACTGGGATAAGGCCAGCTCATCTTATGCTCATGCTAGCAGTGTTTGAGGACTGGCACATATCTGGACAACAAGTAATACTATCATGACACATACTTATAAATCATTCAATGTCAGGAGACTTGAATATGACACTGACTAGGTACCATGCATAAAACCACATAAAACCATAACCAATGAAACAGAGTTTGCATGCAGGAGAAAATTTCGCATAGTCTGTAAGTGCAGTTATTGTACTGTCATTGCATAGAATGTCTGGGAACGGCATAAGAAGAGTTTGCATGCCAAAAACACAATCCCTCATGTGAAGTCTAAATTATGGCTTATGCAGTCTCCATCTCTGTGATTCAGATCCACCATCCACATGACGACTTTCTAATTTGATCTATGATGGACAGTGAATAAGGAATTGGGCATGATATAAAGGGATTTCCTACTTACATAATTGTCTTCATGTGCTGTCCACACATAGGATCCAACAACAGAAGCAATACTATAAGAGACATACCTTGTTAGGGAATAGATATGATGTATTCAGATGCAGAAGTACCACTCACACAAATATGTCTGGTTCCACTTCATATAGCCTCCAATAATTCAATGTAGTACCCTGCTCAATAAAAATCCGAGATTCACGAGGATTCTTGGGGTGTGCAACAAACCATCCTTGTCTTGATGGATTATCATCTGAGCAGCGTATAGTGGTTACAGTGTTTGGAGGTTCTCCCTGGGAAGAAATAATCCACTGAAAGAAGTAAATAAACATAGTCCTACCTCATTCATAGTGAGAGTGTACACATACCTTTTGGTAGAAAGTATAGTTACGATAATTGAGTGATATTGAAGAGTCTCGCCCCTGAGATATTTGTGCAACCTTTGCTGTAGATACTGCAGCCAGAACATATGATCCATCAGATTCTGCTGTGAGGAGACGCCCTTGTGGAGAAGATGGAAGCCCGGTAGTAGTACCATGAGGCAGGCTTGGTGGAGAGTTGTATTGTGCCTTCCGAAGAAGACCCTTGGCATCATCTTCCCAGCTGTCAGGTTCTTCAATGTTGACTAGTGGACTGGTTTCCTCTCCCTCAAAAATGAATGGTAGGTCAAACAATATTCAGGAAATAATTATATAATAACATACTTTAGGACCATTCCAGGACACCCATGCATGTAATGCAGAGGACTGAAATGCCATCTTTACTGTGAATTCCACCTTATAGAGCTTCTGACCTCCTGTAGTTCTCAATGATTGCAGCTTATCTTGCAAGTCAGAAAGATCCACATTGAGAGTGCAGACATGGACAAATCCTGGCATTAACTTCTTCTCTTTTGATTATGGCATTAGATAGATCAGAAATGGAAAGACATAGACTTACCTGACTTGTCATATATGAACAAATGATCTCCTGACCTCTGATTTAGCCCATAGATTGATATTTTGACTTCTGATAGATCTGGCATTTGCCTAAACAGTCTGTAATAGGTGACACCATTCACACCATTGTTATCCAGAATTGCCCCCTGTACAATGTAAGAAGTATGGCTCATTACCTCACTGAGAAGTGTCAACTTACGAATGGTATCACCTCCTTCCATCCAAAGTTAAGATAGTTCCCATATGGACTTTTGATAATTTTCCGCCCTTGATGTGCAGGTTCACTGACTTTGTATTCCACAAGGCGATCATTGCCATAAGCAAAAGGGGAAGCACGGGCTTGAACAACATGGCTTAGAAAGCACTCAATGGCACCATTGGCATTCTTTGCACTTTATGCCAGTGTTACATCAGGCATGCAGACACAGATAACCAGAAATATACATACATATTATGATGCAGTAGAAGTGGACTCATTCCACAGTGCTCAGATATAGCTGATGCCACAGTCTGACTCTGAAATGTGGGGAGTCCACCACCTAAGATAAGATACTACAAGAAAGGGGTGATGTTAGTTGGGAAGACCAAATGATGATTGGGATTTAGAACCTTTGGCTGCCGTTGCCCAATCATACCCTTGATTGCCTGAACAATCTTAGAGAACTGTTCATCACTGCCAAGACATGAGCTGGATGGAATGAGGGGATGAGTCAACTGTGACTCACAGAGCCTTGTTCAATGCTGCATCTTTGGCCTCGGAGGGGTCATCAGGAGAGACAGAGTCATCAGCAAAAGACCCCAGGTCATTGTCATCTGCAACATAATTCCCTTCATCTGTCTGCTCTTCAGCCAAGGCTAGACCTGCTTCAATACCTGGGTCAAGTGAGTGTTAGCCTGACATGTAGGGGCTGACCAACTCACTGATGGATGGATGGTCCTTCACTTCTTGCACTTGCAGAGGATTCTCACTCAGGACAGTGTAGAGGGCAAGATCTGTTGTAGCAGCTCCCACATCACAGACCATGAAGTCTTCACCTTTCTGCAGCAACATGGTATTAGCGCATAAGGAGCATAACAGATCAAACTCACCTTAGGCTTGAACTGCTTCAAACCCTTGGCGGAATAAAGGGCAACCTCTGACTCCACAACGAACCTAGCATTGGTACCAACACTGATAAAAGATGCATCCACCAGTGCCCCTCTCAAGGTCGCCTGCTCAGGGATCCCCCATCCATTCGGAATGACAAGAACCACAATCCTCTCGGACCAGACAGTCACCCATTCCCGTCCTGCAGATCGGCTATATCTCTGCTCAATCTGGGGTTTGGCCTGCTGCATCAGAAACCTGAGCCAATCAGTATAGACATCTCTCAAGGTGATCCCAGCATCGGACTCTTGGAGTGCCTGGTCGAATGCCGAGCCAGCCGCCACCGAGACATTGTTGGTACCGAGACGGTGGACAGCTCTCTTGAACTCACGGACAAGACGCCGCGAGTCGTACCCAGCAGCGTGCTTCTCGTCCTCTGCGTCGTATCCGTACTTGATGCGGTTATCCTCGCCGTAGTACATCAACGACGGCACGGTCGTACCGCCTTGATTTTGAGCGGTCGCGGTTATCCCCGGCCAACGCTTCACGTGTTGTATTGGGCCACTAGGAGTACCGTTGCGAGTTAAAAGGTACGATACGGCCTGGAGAGATGCATATGGACATTAGTACAATACGAGGAGTCTGAAGGCCTGGCGGGCGTACCGACAGGCGCGTGCCGATGTCTATACCGATGATCAGTTTGCTAGACGCGTCGGTCGCGGATGGAGTCATGGCGGAAGTGCTGGGTGGTGTATCTGAGAGTCGTTGACTTGGGAGACATCCAGTCGAATGGGCGTAGATATGTAAGTTTCCAGTATGCGGTGGAGTTCAGACGGGATTCCGAGAATCGCCGTCCCTGCGTAAGGAGCAAGGCGCTGCTGTGGAAGAGCAATGAATCTGTTTAAGCTTCAATCTACGGCACCGGTCCTCTGTGGGAACGCGAATGCACTGGTCTCGTCGCGCGACGTCTCCCCGGCCATGGTCGTACAAAGTTCGTGTTAGCAGGATCGATGCCTTGTGATTGGCCCACAGCCCTCGGCAGCGCCCGGAAAGCCTGGATGCTCGGGCGCTTCATGTCAACCCTCGCTATACGCTTTGATAGAACAACAGAAATCAATCTGCAGAACGACGTCCACACCCATGCTAGCGACGTAGTTCAAGTCCGCGGCACTGTCATCCGCAGCCGTTGGTGTAATCAGGCGCCTTGCGCTATTCTTTCTTGCACGGAGCTCGTTGTCCCCCGACCTTGTAAGCCGCCTTCCCTTTCCCACTCTACCTCTGCATGCTGAACCTTGGGAAAGCGTCTTGGCTGATGCTACGTCCTCCGTGCTCGGCTTGCGCAGAAGTCGCGGCACAATTGAATACCACTGGACAGCCGAGGGTGGTGATTATCGGGCACTCACTTCCATTAATCTCCTGACTGCCAGGACCCCTGATTGCTCGCCGCATTATGCGCGAGACAATACTTCCTCCTAATAGTGACTGGGTGACATTCTCCTTCAGCCTGAGGGCCCGCGTACCCAGGATATAAAGTGCCATCCAGCGTAGCCTGCATTCTGTCAACAAGCCACCCAGACCTGAAAACCCTACAGCCAAGTTCTCTACAGTCATCATGCCCCGCATCGAAGGTGGACAGTACATGATCAAGAATGCCGGTCCCGGCGGCCAGTATATCACCCTGCACACGCTCGACGACGTCCTGCGCGGCGCGCTGCGGACCGGGGCCACGAACCAGAAGGTGCGCGCGCCGACGCTGACGTGCCCCCGCTACTCACCCTCGCGTCCTGCAGTGGATCGTGAACGATCTCGGCAACCAGACGTTCTACATCACCAACCGCGGGTTCGACAAGGAGCCCGGCGCGTACGCGCGCCCCGCGCGCGGGAACGCCGTCACCGCTGCCTCCGACAGGCAGGCCTGGCAGATCACCGAGCTCAACCCGGGTATCTACAGGTCCGTCTTTGTCTTTCTTTGGCGTTGCCGGTCCGGCCACCCGTTCTCGAGCGCTGATCGTCCGCGTGTTCCAGGATCGCCACCGCTAACCTCGCGTGGAGCTTGGAGTCGGACGTGAGTATTGCGCACTCGCCTACTCTCCCCTGCGTACGGCTCAACTGGTTTATATTTGCAGGGCGTGAAGCTCGCCCCGTTCGACACTGCTGACGACCGTCAGAGCTTCAAGTTCGAGTCTGTCGCTTGAGCCGACGTATGCCAAGGTCTTTATTGATACGTCTGCTCCTACGTGTATGCGCTGCCCCCAGATTTTCTATGTACTTGTATGAGTAGGGCGGACATGCGGAATTGTTATGGATGTGTCATTGCTTTATTTCAACGCCTCGCTACCTATCTGGATCTCAAGCCTGGGGCGCAATGTCCCCAGTCTTCGTGACTCTCGGCGATTATGATCACTTTAGATAGCGAAGAGCGTGGCCCTTGATTAGTACTTACATTCTACATTCCAAGATCCGGCGAGTCCCTTGATATAGCGCAAGCCAACGTGGTGACTAGCGACTTGACCATTGCGTGACCGGCCCCGCCTCTCTGATGCACATGGCGAACTGTAAAGTGTCCATATTCTGATACAATAGTGAGGTCCTTTGCAGCGTGCAGCCGGGCCTACGCCTCGGTCTTCCACGCCTCCAGCCTAGCGATCTCCTCTACACTGCCGACGACCCTCGAAGGCCCGATATCCAGGAGCCGGTCGTTCCAGCCCTTGCCCGCCCTGTCGACCCATATGGCGTTCAAGCCGAACGCCCGCGCGCCGGCGACGTCGAACGGATTTCTACGCCGTGACACAGGCTACGCGTGAGCACGGTGCCGGACGGCGGAGAGGAGGAGAACAAGCGCACCCGCTGACGAGCCAGACGTCCTGCACGCGGTCCTGCACGCCCAGGAACTGCACCAGGCCGTGGTATATCTCGCGGCAGGGCTTGTACTTCTTCGCCGAGTTGGCGAGGTAGCGCGAGAGGGTGATGGGGAGGGCGGCGGCCGTGATTGATTTGGCGACCATCTGTTTCGAAGGCGGGCCGTGATTGGTCGTGATATGGGAACCGTGACGGTGCGTACCTCGTCCGTTCCTGGGTGACAATCGCGTCAGCACCGGTATGTGCTGATAGCATGGAGGTGGCAGACGCACCGTTGCTGAAGAGCACGACGTCGACGTCTCCGCGGGAGAGGAGGCTCCTTATTGACGACGCCGCGTCCGCGAAACTGGCAGGGATTGAGTCCATTTGTGTTATCGGGATTCATCGATGCTGCCGCACCTCGGCAGCTCGTGGTACGCCTGCATGAGCAGCCCGAGCGTCGGCGCGGTCAGCTGGATGTTGGCATCGGCGGCGGCGTTGAGCAGGGACTTGCGCGTCACGACGTCGAAGGGTTCGTACAGATCTACGAAGCAAGCAGTTTAACGCCGACTCGGCATCCAGCGGTAGATAATCACCCATGGAATTGAGCCGCCATGTATACCTCCGAGTCGGAGAAAGGAAGGGTGTTACAGCAATGCGATTGACTGCCTGAGAGCGCAGTAAGGACTCACTCGAGCTGATACGTCCTCCACGAAGCCGCCAGCGCTTTCGCCTGGTCCGCGGCCTCGATCTCCTTGACGTACTTCTGTATAGCTTGCGCGATGGCCCCCGTATCAAGGAGGGTGCCGTAGATATCGAACGCAAGGACTTTCTTTTCGGCGGGCATCGGTGTGGACTCGGAGGTTACACTTCAAGTTGGACCTGCAGACGCGTCGATGATGACAGGTGGATCTCTGCTCGATCGGGATCGGCCTTGCTGTTAGACACCGAATGTTCCGCTACGCATGTTATTATGACTAAGCCAGCCTCCAAGTTGTTCTGACGGGCCCCAGGCCAGGTTCCATCTTATAGCAGTCAATCAACGCTTTATCCCCAGGATGGAACGTCACGACGGCGCCTACCGCCTCACAAGTCGCACAAGTCCGCAGTTGTTATTATTCCACGTCCACTTCCAGCCAGCGTGCCGGGTACAATCGACCGAAACGATGCTATGGAGCCCTTGCTCAACTGGATACACAAAGTCCGGCGCGGACACGACCGGCACATCGACCGCTGGCCCATGCCCCACATCACGCTGCTCTACCCGTTCGTCCACCCGCGAGAAAATGCAGATGTGTATGATACCGTCAGAGAACGCGTCAGGGAAGCGTGTGCGAGCTTTTCCGGTGCCAGTGGACAACTATCCTTTGGCGCGGGGCAAGACGCTTTCGGCTACTTCGCGCACTCCAGAAAGTCCGCTACGGTGTATCTCAAACCGCAGGCTGCGCACTCTTGGCTTGGGAGGCTGCTGGCGCATGTTCTGGCATCCAGTCAGGAGCTGCGCGACTATGATGAACAGGCACGCGAGGGCGGGCGGTTACCTGCACCGCGGGCGGTTACCTGCACCGCGGGCGGTTACCTGCACCGCGGGCGGTTACCTGCACCGCGGGCGGTTACCTGCACCGCGGGCGGTTACCTGCACCTCAACTTGACTCGGCGGGCGGCCTGCAGTTGGCTGTTGAGGAGCACTTTACGCCCCATTTGAGTCTTGGACAGTGGCCGGGGAAGGTGAGCGCTTCGTTCGGTTCTTGGATGCCGTTGATGTTGTCTCTGTGCAGGGTGCGGCCGAGAAAGCCGTCGCGAGTCTTGCGGAATCGTTTCCGGGGCCGGTCGCATGGCAGGTGAAGGACTTGTGTCTCCTTCAAAGAGACGGGTTCAGGGACCCCTTCAGGGTCGCCCAGAGGATTCCGATTGGTGGTGCTGCTGGCTGTTAGCTAGCTGCAGGTACTACGAGACCTGCATAGCGTAGAGATACGGTAAATGCCGACGTTCTAATACCAGGTCCAATTGTCCGACCCGGGGAAGCCCAAGCAGATCTTTTCTTCTATCTTATCCATGGCCCATGATAGGCGTACACTACCCTGATATGGGTTGAGCAAGTCGATATTCTTGGACCATATGTCAGAACCCCTCCAGCCATTCTCCTCCCTGTATAAGATGGGGTTAATTATCCACTCCCGCATATTTTCCTTCCTCCCCATCACCACCTGAGGTCACCGCCAAAGCCCGGTACGTCCTCAGAGCGACCGCCACAGTCGAAGTGAGTTCTACGCCACAGTTCTCTGTCTGCGGTGCCGGCGGCAATGTGACCGTCCGGGGTCTATAGCCGCCGAGATCAAACATGACACTCGGTATGGGGCGATCGACGTCATTTCGCAGAGTCCGAGTCTTCGCAACGCCTCCGTCCTGTATATAAGTCCAGTACGTATCCAGCTCATACGCAAGCATTCCACGCTTACGCCCGGTATGGCGCCTCCAGGACAGCAGAGCCATAAGCTACACGAGACGTATGGAATCAACAACCCCGTGCCGAAGGTCTCGCTGCGGAGCATCGTCGACCCGAGGCAGGGCACGGAGAGCAAGGCGAAGAAGGTGACGGGGAATGAGCGGGAGGAGGAGCAGAAGCAGAATGAAAAGTATGCCGGCGAGATTGAGAAAGAGGCGGTTCAGGTGAAGGTGCGTTCAAGCGAGCTGTTCCCGATACGACGGCTGGACGCGGAGATTGCAGGATCCAGTGACGGGCGACGATGTGGTGAGTGTTTATAGTTGCTGTGCGGGTGGGCGCAGGAGACTCATTGTGCAGAAAATCAAACATGGCGACGACGAGCCGGATCCGCGAAGCACCGGGGAAAACATCCTCGAGCAAGACTTCCCGCCGCCCGACTGGGCAGCGCACCGTCGCCGCGTAGTCTCCATCACCACCCAGCTAGTGATCTGCATCTCCCTCGCCTACGCCCTCTCGCCCCTCATCGTATACATGCTCGTGCACCAGCCGCTCTTCCCGTCCTCGCTCCGGCCCACTTCCAGCGCCGCCCAGCTGTTCACGCTCGTCCTGTCGCTGGTGCCCCCGACGCTCTATACGTATGGGTGCATGTACAAGCTGCGGAACGACGCAGATAGCGATTTCGACGACAGGCTCTGGCATGCGGAGCGCGAGCGCGGGTGGAGGGGCGGGCAGGACAGGGACAATGACGGCACGGTCGAGGGCGAGGAGCGCTTCAAGGAGAGCGCAGAGTGGGTGAATGACCTGGTGAAGGGCGTCTGGCCGATCATCAACCCGGACTTGTACGTCGTGGCCGGCGCCCATGCCGCCTGACGGAGCTGACGACCCATGGCCGACGCAGGTTCGATTCTCTGCTGGACATGCTGGAGGATATCATGCAGTCCAGCGTGCCTCGGTTCATCGTGAGTGCTCGCGGGACGCGTGTACGCGCCGCGCTGACTCGGATCGTATCGTCTGCTAGCACTCCGTCCGCGTATCCGACTTTGGCTTCGGGACGACCCCGATGCGCATCACCTCTGTCCGGTCCCTCCCCGACGCCGGTACCGACACCGTGATGGAAGGCCTAGACGAAAAGGCGCGCGACCACTTGAACGCAGAGCATATCGTGCGTCGCCCCCCTTCCCAGCCAGGGAGGGTATCTATCTCACGCGTGTACGCAGAATCTCGAGGTGTCGTTTGCGTACCGTGCGATGCCGAGTGGGAGTACGGTCGACACAAAGGCGCATAATCCGCAGTACGTCCGAGGTGTCGTTCGTGCGCCAGCTTGAGGCTTACGTGAACGCAGCTTGTTGACGGAGTTCTTCCTCGGGATGAGGGGTGTGTTCGCAGAGAGCGTTCGTGAGTGAGGCGTATTAAGGCTACTGCATTCCTGCATTCTGATGTGTGGATGCGTAGCTGTTTGGGTCGAGTTGACTGGAGTTGCTGGGACTGCTCGGCTTCGGTACGCAAAGCCTCATCATTCATGCTCGTCGGTGCTCACCGCTCTGCGCAGAATGGAGCTCATCCCCGACCCGCCATTGTACGTCCCCGCCTTTCACTCACCGTCAGTGTCAGAGACTCACCCCATCCTCCCCGATAGCATCAAAACCACGCTGGTGACGCTCATGGGCCTCCCGTCGATCTCCCTCTCCGTCGTGCCCATGTCCGAGCGTCTGCCAAACGTGATGAACGTGCCGCTCCTGAGCGACTTCATCGCGAAGAGCATCAACGCGGCTGCGGCGGAGTACGTCGCTCCGAAGAGCCTCACGCTGGATTTGCAGCAGCTTATCAGCGGGGATGACATCAAGAAAGGTGGGAGTACTAGTGGCGTCCTGTGTGGAGCGGCTGACGGGGGATGGATAGATACGCAGGCGATGGGCGTGCTCATCGTGCATATCCACCGCGCGGTCGGGCTGAAGAAGATGGACGCGAGCGACGAGAAGCGTGCGTGGTGCTATCTGCATTCCCGCCCATTCGGGATATTGCTTGCTGACACGGACCCCTCGGTGCCTCTGCGTTCGCTGGCATGAACGGCAGCAGCAGCAGACCCCTACGTAACCCTGACCTTCTCGAAGCAGGGCAAGCCGCTGTTCAGCACGCGCATCATCGAGGGCGATCTGAACCCCGTGTTCGAGGAGACGGCGGCGCTGCCTGTGGACCCGAATACGGTGAAGATTGGGGAGAAGCTGAGTCTGCAGGTGTGGGATTCGGACCGGGCAAGTGCTGTGAGTGTTGCCTTTCCGGCGAGGAGTACGCGATAGCGAGACTCATCGTGTGCAGGATGACATGATGGGCTTCGTCGAGGTCGATATCATAGATCTCATGCGCGAGAAGAACACGCCCGTCCGCCGCTGGACGCCCCTGGCGAGCCCGGACGACCAGTCCCGGCCGGGCGAGATCGAGTACACCGTCGGGTACTACAGCAAGATGGCGCCGAATACGTCTATGAAGACGGATGGGAGCGATCCTGGGATTCCCGAGGACCTCAAGAACGAGCCTGCGTTCCAGCAGGCGAGAGCCGTGGCTCTGAACGACCTCGAGGCGGCGGTGCTGTGCACGCCGCCCGATCCCGCCTGGCCGAGTGGGATTCTGAGCGTGCAGGTGCATGAGATTAAGGGCTTGACGGTGAAGAAGTTCGGGAAACAGAATAGGGGGAAGTCTGGGGAGAAGGGACAGGAAGAGGGGGAGAAGGAGCAGGAGGAGGGAGAGGGCTTGCCGAGTTCGTATGCTTGCATGTTCGTGAGAATTCCTCGTTTGTCCTGGACTCGTCGCTGATAGCAAGTGTTCGTGCAGTGAGATCAACGATCAACTAGTGAGGCTGAGGAAGACTGTCAGTGGAGTGCGTCGCGTTGACGCTCTCGATTTCCAGGTGTATTCGACTCGTGTCAAGCCCGTGACGGCGACGCCGATCTTCAATGCGGGCACGGAAAGGTTCATCCGCGACTGGAGGACTGCGCATGTCAGCGTTGTGGTGCGCGACCAGAGGATGCGGGAGAATGACCCCGTCCTTGGTATGGTGTTCCTCAAGGTCAGTCGTTCAAATAAAGAACCAGTGACAGGGACAGCGGTAACATCTGCAGAATAGTTGTCGGAACTCCTCGTTCACGCGTCCGAGATCACCAGATCTTACTCGTTGGAACATGGAGTGGGCTACGGGCGGATCAGGATATCGGTCCTCTTCCGACCTGTGCAGGCCAAGTTGCCGCCGCACCTGCTAGGCTTTGATACCGGCACCCTTGTGGTGCGCAACGTCCGCGCACGGCCGAGTCAAGAACATCTTGCGGAGCTGGCAAAGTGCGCTCTGCATATGAAGACTTACACTAGTGGAACGAAACTGTCCAGGTCTACGGCGGAGAAGCAGGAAGACGGATCGATTGTCTGGCAGGTGGACAAGCCGTCGGAGATACCTGTGCAGAAGCGCTACAGCTCTTCGTTCTTCGTCGCGTTCAAGACCACAAGTCCTATCACGGGAACGAAGAAGCGGGCCCTGGCTGTTCTCTGGCTACGCGATATCGTTGACAGCGAGGACAAGGCTATTACTGTGACCCTATGGCAGTCCGAGGACTACAGCAGACTGAAGCACAATTATGTCCCTTTGGACGGAGACTTGTCTGCTTGGGACGCAGACAAGCAGAAGATGCACAAGATCGGAACCGTTGAACTTGATGTGACTTTTGTACCCGGAGTCACTGCGGCCCACCAGCGCGTCATGAACCGCAGAAATAAGGAGATGAAGCAAGCATGGGAGGAATTCGATCGCAGGGAGGCTGCGGGCCTGACGGATAAAGTCGGGCAACAGAGCTCTGAACTGCAAGAAGCGGCGGCCCAAGATGCCAAGAGTCGTAGAACCGACTCCGACAGCGTCGACAGCGTCGGAACCTCCTACACCGAAGTGAACCCGGAGGACGTTCATATGGATGTGCACGACGCGAAAGGCGGAGTTGACGAACATCACGATCACGATAACGCTGACTACGACGAAAGCCACGAATCGGAACAGGAAGGAGATGAGAAGACGCACAATCCGATCAAGAAACTCAAGCAATGGCGAGAGCACGAACATGAGCTTGGACGTGAGCACAGGGGTCTGAAGCAGGCCAAGCCCGCCAGGACCGCGGAGTGGATCAAGGACAACGTTGAAAATGCTGTCGACAAGGTTGAAGGCCGCTTCAAGCAACGCAGCCGGGAACCCGACGTCGAGACGGAAGTGTAATGTGTCAGTGATATACTGCCGAACACCTTCATCAACGGGTGCTGTACGATAATGAGTGGGTATCGGACACCTTGGATAATCTGGTATATAATATGTAGTTGTATACAATGTACTATCTAATGACTCACGCTGACTGTAATATACCCCGGACGCAATGCCATATCTATTCTTCCAAGAAGGGACTCGTACAACATGGGTGGATTGGATGGATTTGGTGCAACAGTGACGAGGCACCATTAGCTTTCGCCGAGAGAGGACAAGATTTGATGGTGGGGGACATCATGATTGCGCCTTTATGCTGCTAAGCCTCATAACAAGCGGTATCAGGGACGCGTTCTCGCTGGATGCTGCGAACTGGACGTGGTCCAAGTGAACCTGTTTCAGAGTTCAGAAAATCAACAGACAAGCAGGACAAAATAGGGGACAGAACTCACGCTGAACCTAGACAATTAGAATCAGCACACGTCGAGCCAATGCTGAAAGGGATCACTTACCAATGATTGAAGTTTGTCTCGAACTTTCCTAAAAAATCCCACCGCTTAGCCATAGCTTGGTCACCGAATTGACTCTCAGCCGCGGCCAAGGACTGAGAAGCGCTCTTCGAGAAGCTGTGCGTATACAGGGCGAACGTCGTGCAAGTGGTCATGAGCTTAGAGAAGGGCTACACGCGACCACGCGGAGCATTAGATTGAAAAACCAGCGAAGCAAATGCGACTCACACGTAGCAACTTTGAACTAGTGAGCATGCACTCCTTCAGGCACGTATCCAGAAAGTCGACATGGTCTCGGAGCAGCTGGTCAACAGTGCTCACTTTCGTCAGCTTCATCTCTAGGTCACGCCAGTTGGGCTCCAGGACCTCGGCAGTGGCGAATCCCATAATCTGCTGGACGAACGCCAGCATCCGCGAGCGCAGCAGATGCACGCGCAGCCGCCACATCTCGAAGTCATGGTGGTGCGGCACAGACTTGCGCCAGACCACACCCTTCTGTTCGATCCACATGGTCGTCAGGCACTGCTCGACATGCTTGCAGTGCAGCAGGAACCGGAATAGCAGCTGATATCGTAGTATAGTCTTTCTGGAGATGACGAGGGATAGCGGGAATTTGACATTGTAGTCGAAGGCGAGGGCATCGATGACTGCAATGAGTCAGATTTAGCAGGTGAGACAACATGCAGTGAGGACTTGCCCATAATCTTCTCCGAGTCCTCTTTATCCTTATCCTTATCCCTATCCTTTGACTTCTTCGACTCGTCATGCCCCGCAGATTCCGAAGGCGTCTTTTGCCCGTCCTCGCTGCCGCCAATCACGCCACTAACGTTTACCACCTTCATCAGCCAGTCGTACAGCTTGCTCGAGGCGAGCGTGACTCTGACGTCCTCGCGGAACATTGCGTCGTCGCCGTGCATGTCTGTGCTGAGTGTCATGTCTAGGAGGCTCTGCAGCTTCACCACAGACGCCGCCTTGACGTACTTGCGCAGCTCTGACTGCGAGAGGTCCAGGAAGTGCGTGAGGAAGGAGGATTGAGAGAGGAAGAAGCAGCGCTTCAGGGAGCGGAGACGAGGGACTAGCTGCTGGTCCTTCAAGAGTAGCTGTAGTAATGTTCGGTTGGCATGGGTGTATGCTTCTTCGATGAACTTGTAGAACCTGCAAATAGGATGGCATCATGCATTCTGTTAATAGGCAGCCAGGATCTGCGGTGTCCGAACCTTTCATCGTCCATGAGTAGTTCACCCTCTTCGGACTCTTGTAGATGGCTCTTGATTTCGATCCCACACTCCCGGATGACGTTCAGATATTTGCCTGCAAGCAGGATCTTGTGTTTCAACGGTTCCAGTAGGGGCGGTATGCATGCACCCCCGGGCAACCGACCGCTTTGGGGTCTGACAGAGGGTATACCCGCCTGACGCTTCGACGGACCCGACACCGTCGAGCCGTCTCGCAACTTTCAGACAACCAATTCAGTTTGCCGGCAGAATGTCGTGTGAATCGTCCAGGAGTTAGAAGAACTCACTGTATACCGCCTCTCCCAGTATTCGTCGACGTAGTCCATCTCCAGCGTCCCGCGATTGATAAACTTACTCTCCTTCACACACAGCTCCTCGTACGGATCCAACAACCGCCCCGTTGTAATCCATGTCTGGAGCATCGTCACGTACGGCTTCCCCGCCGCCCGCAACAGCGTGCTGTATAGTTTCTTCGCCGCCGGATCCCCAGACATGGTCTGCGCCTTCTCATATACAATCGTCAGCACCTCCCCGCCCTTGACGGCGATATTGTTCCCGCTGTCCACGCTCACGCCGAGCGCGTTCTTCTTCATCTGCGACATAGCCGCTTTGAGGTGCGCGCCGCCAAGGCCCAGCGCCTCGTCGCGTTCGTTGTCCTCGATATCCGACACGGACGCGGAGGAGGGGAGCGACATGGATGCGTCGTCGGCGCTGGCAAGCTCCGTGACGAGCTGGTGCAGCAGGTAAAGTGTGTGCACCGTCGGGTGGATGTAGAACCAGAGTTTTTGGAGACTGAACTGTAGGCTCGTGTTGAACGCGTGCTCGAGCTGGGAGAGGAGGGTTTGGTAGTCCTGAAGACAGGTTAGTACGGCGTGAATAGGGTATCTGGGCGCTGACCTTGAGCATGTCTCGGAGAGCAGCGCATAAGGCGTGGTTGACCATGCCAAAGTCCAGGTCGCTGCGCAGCTCGATAAATGAGGATATCGCGGTGTAATAGGTTGCCAAGGGTATGATGCGTTCTACGAGGTCTCGCAGTGAAGGGTCTAAAGACCGGCGTAAGACAGAAACCAGGAGAAATACTGCAATGTCTGACCTAGGGAAGGCGATACGACAAAGCGGATGCCCTGAAGAGGGTCGTCATCTTCAGGAGAATAGTCTGGGTGGTGTCGGATGTAGACACCCTCGATGCCCTTGGAATGGTATCAGGAGAGGTGGAGACTTGGAGTTGGACTCATGAGCACCCTGTCATAGCGTGATTGAGAAAGAACCTAAGCCAAAGTTCTTCCTCAATCAAACTACGAGGGTGGGCACAAGCCTAACTTCGGAGTAGAAGTTAGAGAACGTACCATGAGGACGTACAGCAGATCCTCCAGAATCAAAGCCTCCTGTACATCGAGTGGTATCCGCTCCAAGCTTTCCTGCTTCGCCTTGCCTTTGAAACTGGCCAACGGCACGCTCCCATTCGAAACGACGCGTGAATTCAAGGGGGCGCGGACGAAGGACGTCTCGGCGATGAATGACGGCTCCTCATAGCCTGCGTCGACCGTTCAGCAATCTAAAGTATAATGAAATTAACATATGCGACCTCTCGACCGACTATGTCCGTCCAGTTCTTCATCTTCTTCCCGGTAATGTCTGCTCCTCCGCGCCGACGCGAGTGTCCCAGTAATCTGCGAGACTATCAAGCCGACATAGGACTTCAGATATTTGGCGGTACCTTATTGTACTCCTTTGTCGACAGAGTCAGCTTTTTACGGCTGCCGTTGTGCGTCCTCGGAGTGTATGGTTCCATGCTCGACGTATAGCTCGGTGCGGCGAGGAAGAACGAGGGCAAGTTCGACACGCTTGTGGCGCCGCCGGCGCGGCTTTACCTCTCTTCTCACACATTTCTTCCGCGTTGAAGCTGCCGTCGGGCAGCGAGCAAGCAGGCTCGCAGACTGATACGACTGGCCTAGAGGAGACTGTAATTGGGCAAGATGAGGGACGCTAATATCTACGCTACGCGGAGGGCGCTGCCACGCATGGTGAGTATCACTTAAGACTGCACGCTCAACCTTCTGACCCAGCGGTACAGAGCTGGCACCCCCGTAATCTGTATAATCTGTGGCGACGCTCTCTGGGCAAGAAAGTACGGGAAACTGATTTCACCAATACCACCAAAACACTGTTCCAGCAGCGCTGGGCGGCGAAGCAGCTCGTCCGGGCGTACCACGGTGACTTCATCAACGAGAAAATCTTCAAACGGTGGTACCTCCCCGCGACGCTGCCCGACGTGCGGCCGCGGAAACGGATCGCGGGCGACGACAGCATCGACCTTACCAGCTGGGCAGGGCGCACGCGGACGGCGAAGCGCGAGAAGGAGCGGCTAGCGGAGGAGGAGGCGAAGGGCCTCGCGCCTGTGGGCAGTTTGATGTTTGCGGAGGTGGAGAGGCGGATTGACGTGTTCATCTTTCGGTGCTGTTTTGCGCACAGCGTGTATGAGGCACGGAGGCTGGTCATTCATGGTGATGTTTTGCTGAACGGGAAGAAGGTGCGCTTGGCGATTTTAGCTGTACTGGGTATCACTCATCTTAACTCTTCAGCACCAAAATGCCAACACCAGGCTGGCGCCGGGAGATATGGTCTCGGTCAATCCAAAGGCGATACGGTTCCTACAGCCCCTTCCTGAGACCAAGTCAGAGGAGAGCGAAGCTACGGAAGCATCCTCAGAAACGTCAACGGAGAAGACCGGAAATGAAGTCACCTCCGAGGCAAAGGCGGAGAGTGAAGCCTCCTCGAAAGAGACTGCTGAAAGCCAGGCGTCCGCTTCAGAAGAGGACCTCGAGGATTCCGAGAACGAAACCGAGAAAGCCCCCTCCAAACCCCGGCGCACCGAGCAGCTCTCCATCCTCGCTGAGCTTGCCAAGGACCCGAACCTCACACCCTTCAACCTCCCCAAGTACGCGTCCCCCTTCCTCTTCGTCCCCGCGTACATCGAGGTCTCCTTCCCGACCTGCTCCGCCGTGTACGTGCGCCACCCGACCGCGCGCCCGGGATACTCGGAGATCCCGACGCCGTTCGACGCGGACGGCGAGGTGGTGAGGTTGGCGTGGGAGTGGTACTCGCGTGTGCGCCCCCGGATGCGGAGCAAGAGCCAGCTGGCGCGCATGCCGGAGAGGAGGGAGAGTAAGGGGCCGTCGTTGGTACTTTAATGGGTCGTTAATAGTGAGCTATATGTCATCCCTGCCGGATGTGCAGAGAAAGTATGGGGCAATGCATCCAGGTCAGCGTTGTAGGGTTGCAGGCTGGCACGGGACGGTTATTCGTGGAAGCAGTCACAAGCGACGGCCTTTCGCGAGGTGAGCTCGCCTCGGGCAGCCTTTCCGAGACTATTTTGGAGGTTATCATCTCTGCCTTGGTTTAAGTCTTGCATGTGCGAAGAGTGAGGGGGACAAGCATTTGGATGATGGTGAACGAATTCATTGCGGCTGATACAGGAAACACGACAATGTGAGGATACAACAAGGTGAATTAGCACACGGTAAATAATTAGCATCTGCGAGAGGCGACCTCCGCAGGGAAACATTAGTGAATGGGAGTCGTAAGTGATCGTAGATATAACTCGTGAACGATGAAAACTAGGGCCTCCAGTTAGTTGACCGCTCAGTCCAGAAGGCAGCGTCGACCCTCACCATTAGCAATAAGTTAAAGGTCTATGCTTGAGCTGCGCCGTCATTTCGGAGCGCCTTTTCAGAGTCAGCTGTGCCCTGCCTTGTAGGATGGGGCGCCGGCTGATGGTGTAGGTAGTAGTTGGATGCGATGAAGACCATGACGGTGCTGTGCAGTCAAAGAGTCAGCTACGGACCTTTCAGTCGATATGACAGTTACTCAGACCCACCTGGCCAATGTGAATACCCAGCCTATCCAAAGGAGTACAATGTACACAATTATGTAGCGGTAGTGACTATATTCTAGGGGAAAAACGGTGCATTAGCTCTATACACAAGCGGACAACCGCTACGCAGAGATACGCACTTAAGGGTACCTCAGCTTCAGCGGTGATCGCTTGTCTAGTGGCTTCGTCTACACCACTGATGGTAGCTGAATGTGTTGCTCCGATGACCTATTTCAGAGCACTCATGAGCACTCAATACAGGAACAACCAGAGAGCATGCTTACAGTTGACGTGATCGATGCAGCCAAGACTGACAACATCGCTACCACGGCTCCGACTTGTTTGGCGGCTGCCCAGAAGGGCGTCTCCCGGGATTCGGGCCAGAACAGCAGGAAGAAGAATATGCTTCCCTATCGGTCCAATAAATGAGTCGTGCAAAGGGAAATCAGATGTTGCGACTTACGAATACGCAAGCATTGAAGACTCCTGCGAAGATTGTGAGGCCCGTCGCGCCCACTATCTAATGACCGGATAAGTCACGGTCTCGGAAGACGGTATTTATAGTAAACTCACATCGTTGTTGTATACATATACTCCTGGGTACCGCTTCTGCGAATGGTCTTGCAGGTGGAGATATCTATAACCCCGGAGGAATTAGAGCCACGCTTCACCATGATCTACTGTATGGATCTACTTACTTGTCAAGCGCGTATGTGGCCAGACACTCCGCCACGACCGTGATGACCATGGCCAATTGGTACAGGATGAACCGCTCCGACCGCAGGTGGTACGCCTTGTTCCACATATTCTTTGACTTGAAGGCAGAAGGCCTGATATTTCTCAAGTCGAGGCCAAAGACGATCGGATTCATGGCGGCGGAAGGGATGGCGGATTTGATCGACGAACTGTAGGAATGAACGGTAGGTAGGAGGATGGTGCTCCTGCTCGCGAGACAGGTTATATAACGACTCTACCTCTCGGGCACAACAGGGATTTAGTAAGCGAATGCGACATAATGTGATCCTTATTCATTGCGGACATTGGGCAGGACCGAGAAGGACCTGGATTGCCTTCCGTCCGGAGTGGGTCGGACGAACGTTTCGGAAATCGGCAGCATCCGGGTACTCGGGCCGACGCCACATTTGTCCATATACGGTATGTTTCGGCTTGGACGACGCTCAACTTGTACAGCAACTTCTGTTTTCAGGTGATTCGATAGGTTCCATCTCAAAAGGCGTACAGCTAGATAATAGTGAGACGGTCCTCCCGAGCCGGCTATGGACTCTGCCGGCTCAATGTTCTCTGAATCTTGGGTGCGCCAGGGTGCCGTGCTGACGACCGCGCCTGGCTCTCCGACCGGACTCGGCATGAACGACAGCTCTCGGAAAGATGTGCAACACGACAGGGATGCATGATGATAAAGCTGCGTGTCGCGATTCGTAAACATCATATATCGGTGCTGCAGGCTGACTCGGGCCGCCTCGTAGTCTGACCTAGCACAACGAACAACAGCGAAATCCCAACGCATGGATGCAGGTACGTATACGATTAATACCAGCTGATTCTCAATGACATCTGGGATGGAACCGACTTTCCTGCCTAGCCTAACCAGTGCGGCCTGGAGTTCATTGACAGCAGAAGACGGCGACGGGGCAGTATAGGACCTCACGAACACGAGAGCTCATGCCACGGTCCGGCTAAAAACAAGTATGAACAGTTGAAGATTTTGAAGACAATAAGCGGCGAAGTGAAGGATTTGACCAGGACTTGGGAGACGTCGAGATCCCAGGTAGCATTATAACCACGTTGACTGAGATCTCGACGTCTCCTTGTCGGTAACGGCGTTATCGACAACTTGGCCAAGAAACGCTCAAGGTCTCAGTTTCTGCTTTCAATGTAGAGGAGCAGCCAAATTCCTTGCTCTCCGAGACATCTCCACTGGATCAAGTACTCCAGGGGTTATGGGGTTCGAGTGAGTTCCATTCTGAAAAGACTCTGCAGGTTACCAGATAGTAGCCGTGTTCAAGATAGCGCCCCCCCTGGCAGTGGCTGCTCCTGTATCTCGGTCGCCTTCCACTGTTCCGGAGGAGTCAGAGTCCGTCATGACCTTACTATTGCACCTCGGACTTACCCCACAGTTCCTACAGATGCACCGAGCTCCGAGGAATAAATGCTCATAAATTCATAGCCTAACCGGACGCGAGGTCCGCTGAAGTATGTACAAGGACCCAAGAAATTAAACACTGATCCTACAGATGCACCGAGCCCCGAAGAATAAATACCTACAAATAGCCTAACTAGAGGCGAAAGTCCGCTGAAGTATGAACAAGAACCAAAGAGAGATATATCATAACCGATACGTCTACGAAGCCGAGATTGAAGAGAATGGCCTAACGGCGTCGCTGTATAACGAGAACTCGGGGAACCGAACGTCCAGCTGGACACCAGCGGCCTCGCATTCTCTCTTTAACCATGGCACTCCTTCTACCAAGAAGTCCTGAAATCCTGAGCTCATTCCAGAGCTACGTTTGAGCACCCATACCGCAAACTTTATGTTTCGAAGGCACCGGAATGGACGGGTATACACGTATGGGACGATCGCCCGGAATTTATGGATGTCGACAAGATCCCTGGCGCCGTATGACACCATGCACAACTTCAAGGTCTCAAAGTCCTTGGCAGGTTGGAAGATGAACGACCGATCCCAGAGGGCCCCGAGTCGCGAGATATGCCTGTCGACGGCGTCGAGCTTGAGCTCCTTGAAGACCATGCATTCGGACAGCATGCATATTGGAATTAGCCAAGGCCATCGCGTTGTCGTTGTCCGGAACGATATCGATAGGGCATCTAGTCGCGACCCCAACTTGTGTTGCCGAAGGAGCCGCCGAAGATGTTATGGCTCGAAGCTCTGTATGCGCAGCCTGATGAGTCGGCGCAAGGAGGTCGACCCAGTGCTATCTTCTGTCCGTCTCAGGTGCGAGAGCTCACGGAGCTTCAACTCTCCGCCCACGACGGTGAGACTGGATAGGTGCGGAAGAGGGGTGATGTGCCGCGGAGTATCGCTCGGGGTAGCAACCCAACCTTCTACGTGGATCTGCCGAAGGGAAGTTCCGAGCAAGCGCAATGCTTCTTCTAGCTGCTTGTCTCATGCATTCCGGCCGGCACTGCCATGTCAAGGTCTCCATCGGGGCCAAAGTTGAAAGGCGGCGCCAGGACTGTGTTTCGTGGAAAGGAGGCATGTTGGGTCAATCCGTAGGTGCGGGAATGCCGCGGCATGAAGAGGATATGATGTCCGATCACTTTCAGGTCGTTGGCGTGCAGGATCAGGCAGAAGCACCTGCCAATGAGGCGGGGCCTCTCGTCTATTGACGCGTGCCAGGGCATATCGCCCACGGTTGCATCGTGGACGATGGTGCGGACGACGTGTCCATATTTCTCCAGTGACGGGGATAACGCAGCGACATCAGTGGAAGGAAAGATGACCAGGGTGCGATACAGGTAGTGATTGACTGCCTGCCGAAATGCACGGGACGTGAGGGCAAGCGATGCGAAGGCATGGAGTTGCCGACGGTATCGGGCGATGCGCTCTATTTCCTTCTCCTTTGACACCGCCTGAAGTGGCTGGTCCGCGAACTTGTATCGGTGAATGTGCCAAGGCAACGGGTCCAGATCCTCAAGGACCATGAAGAGGATTCCAACTGGTAGCGGTGCCCACAGAGGCCCAGGGTTGCCTTGCGCAGGTTTTGCACGAAAGAGTATGTGGCGGAAAGACGAGCCGTGATTGATAGTTCTCGACTTCTTTGCTTCTGCTGATGTTTAGACGAGGGGAGTGATGAGAATGCTGGGACGGGGCGGAGACGGGAAGGGAAGGAAGGAAAGGAGGATACAGGCAGAAGATCGGGGGAGGGGGAAGGGGGGAAGGAAGGGAAGCCCGGGGCAGGGATCACATATATGGATCCACGGCTCGTATATGACTGGCACGACGGTCATCGACTGCCCGAAGAAGACTGGAATTTTGAACATGTGTACCTTTCAGACTACCTTCTGCAGAAGAAGGTTGAGAACCAGAATGTGGTCACTATGTGATGGGTTATCAGTGCAGCACTACCTCAAAAAATTCCCTATCACAAGCTGTATATGTAGCCCCGGAGTGCTGCATCCCAGTTAATCAGTCAATGTTTCACATAAGTCATCTCAACATAAGATGCAATCGAGTACATTCAGTCCAAATCAACTGAGAGACATCCAGTACAGAAAAACTAGCTGTAGTTTGAATCAATGCCTGATCCTCCAACTCACTTGTTGGCCCAGAAACAATCTGCGGACGCAGACGATCATGCCTGACCTACAAGCCCCATACGAGAGAGCGAGAGAAACGGAGGAAGGGTGGTTACTTATCATTGCCCTGATCTCATCCTTTCGTTTCTCACAGGTGCTTTGAACATCTTCATCTCCCTTTGATAACCAGAGAACAAGCATTCTCAGGGAGGTTGTCCTCCCTCCGTCTCCGTTTGTTGTGATTGTCTGATTGAGCAGATGTGACAAAGCCTCCACCGGCATCAGTCCACCAAATATCTGTAGGTTGACCAGTCGCGGCAGAGGCATGGGAACACTTGAGATCAGGAAGGGTGTCGTGTTCCAGGTATGAACAATCAGTTCTTCAAGCAACAAGGAGTGCATCGACAAAGCGTGCAGAATTTGCTTATCGTATCGCTGGGCTTTTGGTGCGCCTATCCAAGTAAGCTTTCGGAGTGCCGGCAGAGGTCGGCTGGGGATAGCGAACTCAGGTAATCCAGGATCGAGGGCCTTCCAGGAAGGGCAGGCCTGACGAGGGAGAAAGAGGCTGTGACTGCCATAGACGCCGAGCGCGTGGACATCTGTCATTGAGGCGAAGCACCGATCCAGAGCAAGATACCCACATCTGCTCAAACTTGGCATGCGGTCTTGTAAGAGAGGACCCGGGTTGACTGCGTCGTACACGAGGGTACGGACATGTCCACCATGTCTTTGCAGAGCCAGCGCGAGGCTACCGACATTGGTGTCGTTGAAGATGACGAGATCACGGTACAGATAGTATTCAACTGCTTCTCGAAATTTGCGCGAGGAACGCGCCAGCTTGGCAAAGAATACTAGTGACTGGCGGTAGAGCTCTCTTCGTTCGAGTTCACAACGCCAGTTTACATTCTTCTCCCAGTCTGGATAGGGCGAGACATAATGCGGGACGAAGGGCTTGAATATTTCCAGCAGAACATCGACAGGAATGTCATTCATTGTAGCCCCGGGCTGAGGATTCCCTGCCATCACCGTGCCACCTCCCGGGTCAGCAAGCGGCTGAGGAATAATGGCGAGCACCGAGGTCGCTGATGGGCGTGGACACCTTCAGTAAAATATCAAGCAAGACCCTAACACTTCAGAATAGCGATGAATCGGCTACTCGGAAGCCTGGAGGATACAAGAAGTAGAGGACTGAGTGAGTCGAAGTGGCGCTTGAAGGAGAGCAAGTCGTGGGCGTCGCTGACGTAACTGTAGCAGCCACAGGGGTTGGGCGAGCCGCGAGGCCACACGCAGTGCTTCCTTCTCGACCATCCTTTCCTCCGATTCCTATCCGGAAGAATCACCCATCTTCAAGTTTCAGAAATTCCTTTATCCTCAGTCCAGTCGGTCTACATATTTCCAGTCGACTCAATATGTGTACGCGATCATCTCTCTTATACTTGGCCGCTGGATTTGCCCCTGCGCTTCTTTTTACAGAGAGGCCTTTTACCTGGGATTTGGTATTCTGCCTGCTGATAGGATGACTTGACTGAACTGTCCCGGGTCGCCCCGAAGCGCTGTCCGAACCAAAATAATATCTGAATTCCTCCCGCTTCTCAGCAGATGCTCTTCTGCGCTCCGAGTGCATTGGAGGCGTCTCTGCAAGTAAAGCTCTATACAGTGTTTCTACTGACTCCCCATGAGGCTCTGAATGGAAGCAGCCAGACCTTTCAAGCTCGAAGCCCGAACCTCCAAGTTGCTGAATGTGGGCGTCCTGCAAACATGCGACCGACAATCACTACCGAGTACTCCTATCCCTCAGCCTCCGCTGAATAGAGGAATGCGCTATAGGCAGGCACTTCCCAGGACAATAAGTCAATCGTCTTACCCCCGATTCATCTCAGTGGTAAGCCGACCTTTGCACCCCTATGTACTGAGTTCTTTATTAGGCTTCCGGCCCAGTACATGTCCGATCATCGCTCTCGCACATCTGACACATGTTCGCGAGACCCAGGAGGACATATTCCTCCGCAGTGGAGGTCTTGTACACCTCTGGTCCGAACGGACCTCTCCTCCCCAATGGTTTCTGGAGTAGATCGACTTGTGTTCAGGCTCATGCCCTGGCAAGCGGTTTAATGACGAAGGTCCCGAGTCCTCGATGGTGGTTCGCAAGGGGGGAGACGCTATCAGGTTATATATTTTCTACGGCCTGATCGTCTTCTATTAATACAATCCATCCACACTGGGAATCCTGGGATCAAGGCAAGGGTTGTCCCCGTCGGTATTCACCTAACACCTACAACAATGTCAGATCGGCGTGAGTGATAACATTACCTTGGATACCTACCTCTCCTTAGGTATCTTCCCGAATGCGTACGCCCTCGTCCTTCTCCCTTCAATCTTTCAACGGTAACATTATCGCCTCGTCTTTGCCAGCCCTCTATTGAACGTCGCTTATCGCCGGCGGGACTATTATCGAAACCCACGACTGAATCAAGCCCCAGCGCTCCCGCCCTTCTTCTATTTGGTCCGCACATTCTCACCAGTGTCAGCAGCGCCTTGGCATCTGTTCCTCGCTATCATCATCCACGCACGACGCGTTAAGTACATTATGTGTTATGGGATGCTTGGAAGCACCGAGGCGCATCTTTCCAGTGTCCTTCTTCAAATTCTCCTTCCACCCACTTCCAATCAGCATTCCCAGGCTTCCGGCGGCGGCGACGACATCAAGCCTACGGATCTTGCTTTGATTCAGACGAACGGAGCTAGCTCCATTCTGGTATTCCCGTCCTTATTATACTCGCAGCTTTTCGAATTCACTAACATCTGCTTTAGGCCGATGTATCCCCGCCCTCCAGTTTAGGACTTTGGCCGTGCAGATCCTGGAACAGAATCGGTGGGAGTGCTGGGCGTCTTGAAACGACTTCCCGTCGGGAGATACATTCCTGTATGCTACCGATTCTCAAGGGACCGAGCGTCGCTGGAAAGAACTGTTCGGAAATGATTGCATGGTATTCATTGGGCTGGATGTTCTCTCAGAGTTATGCACTCGGTGCCGTAGGTGTAGGCCAGCGCTGTGCTGTTGTTGTCCCATCTGTCATGACCAGCCCGTGTTCCGGGGTGTGTCGCAGCTAATTACGCTCTAGCGCGGGGCACGTCACTGCGATGGCAGTTTCTTTGACAGCCAACCCCCCTTACTCTAATTACTGGTCCCTCCCCGCTCCCACTCCGCGCTGTTCTCTTGGGTATTTTGGTTCGTGCATCTTTTACATGGAGGTGACGCTCCGACATTTGGTCCTCCGAGCCAATACGTCGAGCGGCCAGGCTCGGACCGCCGGTACGCCGGAATATCAGACTGAACCCAAGTTAAGCCGCATGTCGGGGGTCAACGGCATAAAGTCGTGTCCGTATCTTTGACAACAACATCAGTTCGACCCCGCGTTTGTGGCGTGTTTACTCCCCACCTTGTCCCTTCGGTCGTGAAGCTGACACGCGTGATCCTGGTCCGGCCACCTACAATAATGGCCACAATCCGATGTTATCCAAATCAAGCGCTGCGCACATTACGTAGGGTCTCGTTCTTGGGGCATGCAGCTGAGCGTTCCCGACACCCCCGGCGGCACCAACCTCATTCTCAATTTACCCGAGCGTACACAGTCCTCGGGGACAAACATATCTCCCTTCTTCTCAATTGCCCATGACGCAACGGGACAGCAGTAGGCCGGCGGTACCGACGCGCGCGTCCAGGCCAGAAGACGCTCGCCGACACTTTCCAGTGCCGGGCGATCGACTCGCACCGTCGTACCAAGCGCATCAAAAAACTAAAATGTCCCTGGTTACAGGGGCTTTCCAGTGATGCTGCGTGCGTGGACCAGGCAGATGCTGTAACGCGGTCGATAACAGCAAACCGATGCCTCGTATACGTACGGCCGTCGGTCGACTCGAGAGCGAACATCTGCGACTTTGCATGTCAGCGGTAGACTTTGGCCACCGTCCGATCCACGTCCACTGGCAGGGTTGAGGTTACAGTCACAGCGCTACGCAGAACGATCAACCCAAATAACATTGCAGACGCTGTCATCCCCAGCATGGCTGCGGAGCTCCTGCCCTGTCAAGCATTCCATCGAACGCGCCCTTCCCTTCTTATAATAAACAACAACAGCAGCCTGAGCTAATACCAGCCAACAGGGCCCGCAAATTTTTGGTTCGTCTGCTGGAATATTCAGATGAAAGGGATGCCGTGGAGTGGGAGACTGCTCGTCCATTTCGATCTGTGTAGGACAGACCCCGGACACGGGGTGACGGGTAACGCGCCTTGCAATCCAGAACTTGCCTTGAAGGTTCGCCGCCATGCTGATCCAGCCAACAAGAGAACAAGGTGGTATCTATGCACCAAGCAATATATTCTGCATCGGACTGTATATAGTTACGGCTGTACAAAGAGGAGGATGGGGACGAAAGGAGCTGCGGTCGAAGATGTCCGTGGCAGCGCGTAAACGAATACCGCTATATCTGTAGGTCATGAAATACGATATGTATGTAGAGAAGAGGATGGAGGCGATGGATGCACCAAGAAAACGAGTGTATGTACGGCAAGCAAAGAGAGGAAGAGTCTAGGGTTGGTGGTGGGGTTCGCTACACGACAAGGGACAAGGGACACAGGACACAGGACAACAAGAGGCGGAGGGTAGTTGGACAAGGACAACAACGGCAAGAGCGTGTATCGGGGAGAGTAGGCAGGCAGCAATAACGTAGCAGAGTCCGTTCTAGGTAGGTCAGGTATATCAAGCACAAGAGGAGATTCATAGACAGCTCGTCCGAATAAGGCGCGGACTTGCACAACGTTCGTTCGCTCTTCGTCCGCGTCCCGAGGCGGTAGCGATATCGGGGTATCGATATGATTACAGTGTCTTTCGGCGTCGCCGTTCAGCACTTCTTCCACATCTTGACATAGTCACTGTTCTCCCATCAATACCCCCTCACACACGAACACAATAAAACTCAGACACTCACATCCTGAACGCGCGGTCATCAGCGCTGCTCGGCCACGTCGCGCTCCACGTATCCTGCGCCTGGGCAAAGTTATACATCGCAGCTACACAAGGACCAGTCAGCACACCCTCCTCGGCTCCGAGCGAACCTCAACCGAACACTCACTCGCCGACCCGTCGTACCACGGCTTGTCGCCCACGTTATCCGGGAACCACCCGCTCGTCCCGCCCGCCGCGAGGTCGATGATCAGGTAAAACTCTGCCGGAGCGAACAGAAGCATCAGCCCTCCCTTCACAGCATATAAGAGAAGAGAGACCCCGCCACTCACGCTGGTCAAACGGCGCGTTGGGCCCCGAGTTCTGCCACGGGTTGGGCACGACCACCGGCGTCGCCGAGTTGTTCATCGCCGTCGCGGGGAAGTTCCCCCTCGTCCAGAAACTGTTCTTCCCGCTGTCCGTCTTCAGGTTCAGCATCGTGTGCAGGCGGTTGTCCATGTAGAACCGCATGAAGCCTTCATCCCACTCCATCGCGTACGTGTGGAAGTCCTCGTCGAACCCCGCGCGCTTGTTGCTCTGCCACCCGTAGATCTTCCGCTGCAGCGTCTCCAGCGGGCCGTAGTTCAGGCTCGCGCGCGCAAAGTTCACGCCCTGCGCGCCGTACTCGAGCCCGTTGCCCCTTGCTTCCATGATGTCGATCTCGCCGGAGAGCGGCCACGGCCCGTACGTGTCGTCCTCGGGGAGCATCCAGATCGCGGGCCACAGCCAGTCGCCGCGCGGGAGCTTCGCGCGCACCTCGACCTTGCCGTACTGGATGGAGTACTTGCCCTTGGTGTTGATGCGCGCGGAGCGCACGGGGTTGATCACCTGGTAGCTGGACGAGTCGCCGTTGGCCGTGCACGCGGAGGAGTTGTCGGACGTGCAGTCGGAGAGCTGGTAGGAGCCGCCGTTCCAGATGTCGATGCCGTCGTCGGTGGAGAGGGTGGGCATGATGTAGAGCTGCGACGCGTCAGCGGGAAGAAGAGGTAAGCAAAGCTGGAGACTCACCTCGCCGTCCTGGGTGTAGATGTTCTTCGAATCGTCCGTCGTCATCTCAAACTCGCCATTCCTACACGCCATCAGCGCCCGGTCACCCAAAAGAGCAACTCGAAACTCACCCAAACCCACCGAGCTCGATATCGTAATTCCACGTATTGCTCGTATCCAGGCTATCAAAGTCATCCTCGAGCACCAGACACAGCTGGCTATCCTGGAGGACCTGGACGCCCGCATACCCGCGCCAGCAAATAATCCCCGCACACCCGAGGCCCACGAGCATCCAGAGCACCGTCAGCCACCAGCTCGCGCGCGCCCACCCGTCCTTCCGCCCAATCCACGGCTTCTCCTCCTTCGTGAGCTTCCTCTCCAAGCGGGAGCTGGGCATGACGGGCTTGGCTTTCATCGGCAGGCTGGGGAGGGACACGGCGCTGCCCGCGCCCTCCGCGCCCTGGCTCGCGGCGTACATGTACGCGGGCGGCGTCCAGAGGCTGCTCGTGGGCCGGCTGCTCGGGCTGAGGAACGGCGCGCGGAAGGTGGTGACGCTGCTCGTGCGCGGGAGCGCGCCGGCGTCGCTGAGGTGGCCCTGGCTCGCGTTGTTCGCGCGGTAGGTGACGCCGCCCATGCCGACGCCGTTGCTGCCGTAGGTGCTGCCGCGGGGACTTCCCCCGTCCCGCGCGCCCTCTCCCATGAAGGGCGCGTACGGCCGCCCGAGCTCGCCGAGATCGCGCTCGCTGCCCGCGCGCGTGCCGAGCGCCTGGTAGCCGTTGCCCGCGGGGGCCTTCATGCTCTCCATGGAGCTGCGGCGGCTGGTGACGCCGGGGAGCGGGTCGGGGTTGCCCGGGTGGCTCTGGAAGGGGAAGGGGTACGCGGAGGGCGGGGCCTTCGCGGCGGCTGCCGGGGGCGGGTAGGAGTCGCGGTAGAGCGCGGCGGGGGTCCAGTTGGCTGCGTCGGCGGGCGGCGGCGGGGACGTGCCGCCGGGGGTCTTGAAGGGGTCGGCGGAGGTGGGCGAGGCGGGGTCTTCGGGGTAGGAGGTGACGACGTTGCTCGCTGGGGCTGGGAGGGGTTAGTAAGGTGTTTGGGGATAGAAATTGCGGCGAGAAGACCGGGCCCGGCCATTCCTCCTGCCAGCGACACTCGACGTCGACAGCATCAATGGATCACCGTCGCTCGGAACGCCTGGAAGACGTATTCCGTCCAGAAATAGGGCTGATGCGCTGCCGACACGCGGCAGGCGCAGGGAAAAAAAAACAAATGCTCACCTGCAGAAGAGCGCCTGCGGTGGTGATTCCTGGGTTTCGGCTGCGTGCCAGCGGGCTGAGGCGCGTCGCTCATGCCCCAGCTCTGCCTGCGCGGGTCGGAGACGCGGCGGGCGCCGACGCCGGCGTTGTTGGCGGTGCTGCTGGTGTTGATGACGTCCCTGTCAGAGTCGCTGCCGGGGTCGGTGGAGGCGGCGTCGGACCAGGAGCCAGAGGCCCTGTCGGGGCGGTCGCGGGCGCCGAGGAAGAAGGGGCGCGGGGGGGAGAGCGGGGACGGGGCGCGGGGAGCGTTGGCGAGGTGGTCGTCGTCGCTGGACTGGCGGCGGGTGGCGGCGTAGCCGGGGCGGGCGCGGCCGAGGGACATGGCGGCGGAGGACACTGGGACGGGGTGTCGGACACGGTGTCTGGTGGGGGAGCCCGCAAGGAAGGGGCTCTTTTGAGCAGCGAGGCCAACTCTGCCCGTGCCATTAGATAGCCGCGCTTCCGGGGTCCCTCTCCATATCGTCTGTCTGATCGACGTGACGTGACGCCTCGATAAGCTGCCGGCGGCTGCCGCGGCTGCTTCGGGGAATGCCTGCGCTGCTTGGGGCGCGACGGCGTTTGCTGTCCGCTGCACTCCATTCCGGCGAGACACTTGCATGTTGAGATAGTGTCGTTTGTAATTTCGTTGCATTTTCTTTGCATTTTCCTTGCATTTTCCTTTCATTTCCCCTTCATTTCTTCAGAGTCATTCCCCAGCACTCACCACCCCCTTCGTACCAATGACGCCAGCCTACGTCACCCAGGGCGCTCGTTGAAACGCGTCGGCAGGGCGAGCGCTCTCACCGATCGGCGTCCGGATCTGACACCGGCTGAACGGTTCCCAAACAAGCAACTGCACTTCCCAGCAGGGCAGTCGGTCCCGCCGCTGCTGCCCCGCCCGAAAAGGCAAGATAGGCGTTATCAGCCCGGGGTTCCATTTATACTTTGCCATCGCCATAAGAAGTCCTCCTCCCTGCCAACTCTCCGCCGCGTGTCCTCCTCCCCCCTCTTCCCCCCGTCCTCGTCGTTCTCCTCGTCGTCGCCGTCGTCGTCGCCGCCATGGACTACGACCGCTACGACGCCTTCCTCCACCACATCTTCAAGCAGACTCAGGGCGACGCATGGTTCCGCCCCACAGAGGACAACCTCGCCTGCGGCGTCGCCCTCCGCGTCGCAGACGGCGAGTTCCGCGTCTTTCCCTATGAGAACATCGCCCTCGAGCCCTTCGAGACCGCCGTCAGCGCGCTCAACCCCGTTGTCGCCGTCAAGGTCCGCAGCGCTGCCGTGCACGCTGCCCTCGCTGAAGTGTGAGTTTTCGCGGAGGCATCCGCCCTGCCTAATCGGGCGGCGTCCGATCGCGACTATATGCACCATGCTAACACCCCCCTTCCAGCGGCCCAGAAGACAAGTCCATCTACGTCGACGCCAACACCCGCATCCAGATCCTCGAGACCATGATGCTCCTCCCCCACGCCGACAAGGAGCAGAACGCCGCCTTCATCCGCGACGAGCGCGTCCTCGTCGTCTGGTCAGAGTCCGTCGACACCATCGTCCCCATCTGCCGCGACTTTGAGGACCGCCTCATCAAGCTCCTCTGGCGCTCCCGCCCCAACGCCCACCTCGGCGCCGCCACCTCCTCGACCTCCCACCCCAACTCTGCCTCGGGCTCCGTCTCCGGCCACTCCACCACCAACTTTTCGCCCAACGCGATGCCGCCGCCGCGCTTCAGCACCATCGGCAGCAAGCTCGGGCTCGGCGTCGCCGGCAGCTCAGCCAGCCTCTCCGAGGACCCGGAGAAGGGCGGCGTCGGCGAGGAGAAGCGCAGAAAGGTGAAGAGGACGTGGTATGGCCGCAAGAAGATCGTCGAGATCGATCCCCTCGCGCCCGAGGAGCGTCCCGTGCGCATCCTCGCGCCCATTTACAATGGCATCGCCGCCGGCCTCGCCCTCTTCTTCATCGGCAACGGTATCAGCATCCTCCTCCAGGAGATGCTCCTCGACGGCACCTACATCCGCTTCGCGCTCTGCGCTCTCTGTCCGCTCCTCTTTGCAGTGTCTTTGGTACGTTGGACTTTAAAAGTTGCTGATTGAAGACTGACCTGTCTCCCCAGTTCTTCGCACTACAAATCGTCCAGAACGTCAGCATGGCCATCGGCCCCGTCGCGCAGTACCACGAAAACTCGCGCTACTTCAGTGCGGTCAAGCCGCGGCCGAACAAGCTCGTCGACAACAACCTCCCGCACATCACCATCCAGATGCCCGTGTACAAAGAGTCGCTCGAGTCCGTGCTCGCGCCGTCGATCGAGTCGCTCAAGAAGGCGATGCAGACGTACGCGCGGCAGGGCGGCACCTCGACGATCTTCATCAACGACGACGGGCTGCGCGTGATTCCCGACGAGGAGCGCGACGCGCGCATCGCGTTCTACGCGGACCACAACATCGGGTGGGTCGCGCGCCCGAAGCACGAGGATGCGCCGGACGGGTTCAAGCGCGCGGGGCGGTTCAAGAAGGCGAGTAACATGAACTACGGCCTGGCGCTGAGCTTGAAGGCGGAGAAGCACCTCGCGGCGCTGCAGGCGCAGGAGAAGGCGCGCGAGGGCGGGTCGGCGCGCCGCGGGAGCGGCGGCGAGCCGCGCGCGTACGGGATGCAGTATCAGCACCATGATGGCGGGGATATGACTGCCATGTCGCCGACGAGCCCGAGCGGGGAGGCGGCGGGTGAGTGGGAGGATCTCGAGGAGAAGGCGCTGCAGATGGCGATCGAGGAGGTGTTCGAGGCGAGCGGGCAGCGGTTCCGCCCGTGGGCGGCGAATGGGCGGAGTTGCCGTGTTGGCGAGATTATCCTGATTGTGGACTCGGATACGGTTGTGCCGGAGGATTGTTTGCGGGATGCGGCGAGGGAGATGGCGGAGGACCCGACGGTGGCGATTATCCAGCATGAGAGCGATGTTATGCAGGTTGCGCATCATTATTTCGAGAATGGGATTGCGTACTTTACGCGGAGGATTAACAAGTGCATTTCGTTCAGTGAGTTTTCACCGAGCTGTTTTCTTTGATGTGTGGTGTTGATGGTTTTGCAGCGTGCGCCAACGGTGAGGTCGCCCCCTTCGTCGGACACAACGCGTTCCTGCGGTGGAAAGCCCTGCAGGACGCCGCGTTCGTCGACCCCGCGGACGGGGAGGAGAAGATCTGGTCCGAGAGCAACGTGTCGGAGGACTTTGACATGGCGCTGCGCCTGCAGATGCGCGGGTTCATCATCCGCTGGGCGGTGTACTCGCAGGGCGGGTTCAAGGAGGGCGTGTCGCTCACCGTCGACGACGAGCTCAACCGCTGGCAAAAGTACGCGTACGGGTGCAACGAGCTGCTGTTCAACCCGCTCGTGCAGTGGTGGCGCAAGGGGCCGATTGCGCACCAGATTCATCGGTTCATATGGAGTGCGGCGCCGTTGCATTATAAGCTGAGTATGATGGCGTATATGTTTTCGTACTGTGAGTGCCGTGGTTTCCTCTATCTTGTTTTGAGAAGGTGGACTGATTGTATGGGCAGACGGGATTGCGGCGTCGATTACGATCGGTATTGTCAACTACGTGCTGCTCGGGTTCCAGTTCCCTGTGGACGGGTTCTACATGCACTCGTTCGAGATCTGGCTTGCGACGACGATTGTGTTCTTCGGCTCGGGTAATGTGGGCTTCACGATCCTCGAGTACCGCCTCGGCGAGAAGGGCCTCATCATGGGCTTTATCGAGAACATCAAGTGGATACCGTTCTTGTGAGTTTCTTGCACGCAGTGGTTGTGGGATTGTTGTGCTGACGAATGACGCACCGTAGCTTCTTCTTCTTCGGCGGGCTGAGCATCCCCGTGTCGCAGGCGCTCCTCGCGCACCTGTTCTCGTACAACATGACGTGGGCGGCGACGAAGAAGGAGGTCGAGCGCTCGAACTTCTTCAAGGAGATCCCGAAGATCTGGAAGCGCTTCTGGTTCCCGCTCACGGTGTCGGTTATCATTGTTGCGGGCATTATCATCCTGTCGACGCCGCTTGTGCCGATCGCGTGGAGAGTGGATGGGTCGGCGTGGGCGGTCATTTTCCCTCTTGCGTGAGTGCTGCTCGTTTTTTATTATTTTGGTTGGCAGGAGTGACTGAAATTCTTGGTTTAGCATTGTCGCCGGCTGCCACATCCTCTTCCCGATCGTCCTCAACCCCTGGCTCATGGTCTTCTCGTACTAGACGAGCGGCCTCACATGCGAAAAACACACGACACACGCGCGCCCCGTCGACGTCATCTTGGTCTCCAGGTCTTCTTCGCGCGAGCACACCGATGATACCCTAATGCCGCACACATGCTACGTATATACCACGAACGTTCCCCGCGCGGGGAGAGGAGCTGCATGGTCGCTCTCCGGCTTTCGTCTCGCGCACGCGCATACATACACAGGTCTTCGCCGCTGTCTCTCGCTTGGTCCCCCGCTCGCTCCCCTGGTGTACATATGCCGTCCCCTCTTTTGGCCGCGGCGTTGATGGGAGACATGCGCGTTGGACGCGACGCGATCTCGCTGCATACATTCTCCCTGGATGATTCCCGCCCCACCCCGTTCTTTTTCTTGGACGCTTTATATATCCCCTTGCTCTCTATCTGTCTCTTTCGTCTGCGGACTCGCTGAACGAACTGTTACTGACTGAACTGAACTGTGCTCTGTGTCCCCATTGTTGCATCCCAAAATCATGTTGTCTCCCAGTCTCCACGCATTCTTATCGATATCACCCTTACATGTACTTACCACCACGCCTAGGGACACTTGCCGTCTCACATTCTATACATCGTACAGTAAATTTCGCTAGATAGACAGTGCTTCCGCCTGTCGTGTAGTGCAATGCGTACATACAGTATTGCACCTGTGCAAACTACACTTTGCCGTAGATGACGCTCTCGGTCTGATCGATTGAGTAAGGGTCGACACTGACAGTGACAAGGCGTTGCCAATGTCAGTGTGCTTTGATACCCGCGGTAGGGTCTCTCAGGTGAAACCGGTGACCTTGCGAGAGTAATTAGAGTAGAACAGGGTGTGAAGTCATTGTTCGCGTCATGGAGAGGACCCTGGCAAGCTTAACAACGCGATTTGTCCAGATGACCGCTGTTTTCTCCAATTTTCCCGGGATGTTCTCTGGGACTTGTTGGGAACTGTATGTTCTAACTACGTCAGGGCAGGATCTACAGCCCACCCGCACGTGTCGGGAGTGGCCCCGGAGGTTGTATGTCAAAGGAAGAAGCGGGGTTAAACTGTGGCGGTCTCCACAACGTGGGGTACTGTAGGCATCCCACTCCGAACACAGATGTCCTGCATCTTCGGCGGGAATCGTGAGGCGTTACGCGGTGGTTGAGGTCTTCGCTTGCGGGTGCGCGTGGGCATGAGGGGAGAGGGAGGTGATGGATGCTCTCGTCGGTTTGCAACTTTGCGGAGCGCACTGCAGGCTGGGCGGCCCGGCGTGTGTTGATTCGTGGGGAGATCGTTGTGGTATGAGTGAGCCCAGGAGGCAATGCCGGAGGAGTGGCGAAGTGTGTCCGGGCGAGCTAGTGCGGGGTAATCACGATCCGACCTACCATGGAATTTTGAGTCATGGTGCCACTCCGTAAACATTGGGAGGCGGGATATCAGTGTAGAATTGCAGCTTCTGCAGGGGCAGAGCCTTCAGGGACGGGGCGCATTGCGATTCTCAAGTCGGATCACCTACCATCCGCTCCATCCAGAGTATTGTAATCGTACGAGATGAGGTTAGGCACTGTTGCTAGAATAGGAGATGCTCGGGAGAATCGACGTTCCAGCCTATCCAGTTCATGCATGCAAAATATAGCTCGAACCAGAGGACGCCACCTGGAGGGCACTGCGTTCTCGTGCACAGACGTAATATTCTGGAGCCACGACGGGCGGTTATGGCACGGTGGTAATGCAACTAGAGAGAGCTTTCATACTGGGTTGGAAGAAATCGTGCGACACGAAATTGGACCAGTCTGGTCCTGTTGTCGAACAATGGGGGCAGTATGATTTCTCAATGTGTCCGGCAAATTGATCCGGTGTAAAGTGGATTGCTATGTTGTCTTACTGATGGGGGACTTTCCCTGTACCGGATGGAGATTGGCGGAAGACAAGCTAGGAGTCGCAGCGCAGGCCAACCTTCCCTTCCCTGAGACAGCACACCAGTGGCAGTTGTGTGGAATCCTTCGATCAGGCTGGTAGCTGGTTGCAATTCGGTATGTGGCCCAACGACGTTCGAAAGAATGGTCGAGCACCTCCGCCAGCGCATATGAAAGCTGGTAGAAGAACACGACCAGCCTTTCGACCGCCGCTAGAGAGCCGCGCGCGAGGACCTTCAATTCCGGGCGCTGTTCTGGAAAGTTAGTTTCAACGCGAGCACAGGACGCTTGATTTTCGTCGGAGCACAGCTTATCCAGTCAGCACCGTTCTGTTCCGTGCTGGGTAAGAATACTACGCCGTTCTGCTGGTCCTGAGCAGCCGATGACGTCCGGAAGAGTGGTTCAGCAGCTCTGCCAGCGCTGCTGAGGCCTCTCTAGAAGAGCCACCGTACCAACCCTTGCGACAGTCGCTAGAGGGAAACTAGTGGAAGCAGCTCCAGTCCTGGAAGCAGGACAGGGAGTGAATACCCGTTGAGAACAACGAAAGCCAGCTGGAAGACGAGTGGCACTGAGGCGCTTGATTTCCTTCGGAGCACAGCTCGCCCCGTCAGCCGATATTCCGTTCTCTTCGTAAGAGAGAGCACACCGATTGGTTGAAACGCTTCTCCTAGTAGGACGTTCGAAGGAAGCTCTGCCAGCGTCTACGAGCTCCAACCGACCATCCCTGCGACCGTCGCGAGAGAATAGTTGTTCCATTCGGGAAAGCATGCAGCTTCAGTAGCGGGTGCAGCAAAGGAATGGCGCGATAACGCAAACAGAAATTTAAAGCCGAGCAAGCTTCCGTTCGCTCACGCGTCCGCACGCGTCGGACTCACGTGCCCTCGTCGCGCCTCCCTCTTACCTTTGTCCCCTACACCCGGCCATCGCTCAAAGCTTATTCGCCGCAACAATGTCCGCAGATACCCAAAGTACGAGCGGTGCACTGGGCAAGATATGTAAAAACAGAGTCTGCCGCACGCCGATCGCCGACAACTCGCGGTACACGACGTGCGAGGCCTGCAGGGCCAAACGGAGCGACGCGAAGAAGCGGTCAAGGGTCGAACAGGGTATCGCGCCGGACGCGCAGGGGTTTCATACATTTCGTTTGATGCCGGGGCATTACGGGGCAACGGTGCGTGCACTGCGTTGTATTCCACTATACCCGTTGGGCTCGTAAGACTTATGATCGTATGTAGTTTGTCGTCCAACAGAATCCGTCGATATATCCTATGCCGTACCCACCCCCCGCACCCTTCTATCCCGTCAACACTACGTGGCCTCCCGCGCCCTACGCGCCCGTCGCCTCCACCTCCGCCGCGGCATCCTTCCCTGCACCGAACCCCGCTCCCAACCCCGCACCCCCCGCTGCCCCCTCCCCGCCCGTGTCAGAGTCGGAATCCGAATCAGGCACACCACCCCCGCCACAACCGCGTCAGCGCCTGTGCACCACCAAGAAATGCCGCAAGCCCATCCCGCCCGAGTACGCCTACCGCACCTGCGAGAGCTGCCGCACGCGCAAGCGGTCCGAGCACCAGCGCGCGCGCGCACGGGCGAAGAAGGCGAACGCGACCGCCGCACCCAAGTCGCCCGCGAAACCGAGCGCGCGGAAGAAGGCGAAGGAGGATAGGGCGCCGAAGAGCGTCGACGCGGCGGAGCGCGAGCGCATGGCCGCGCTGATACGCCAGATGGGCGGCGTGCCGTCGTGGGAGAAGGAGAGGCGGAAGAAGGGCGGGTCGGGGTCGCCGGCGGGCACGCCTGCGACGGGGGGTTCGGCGGTGGAGACGCCTGCTGCGAGTGTCACTGCGCCTTTGGGCACGGCTGTGTCTTAGTATGGGATGGGCTCAGATAAGATCGGAAGGACTGTTGAGGGTAAAGGCATGCCTCGGTGCAATGCAGCGACTGTTACCTATTGTATGCTAATAATGCAAGAATCGTAGTATACTACATAGTGGTCCCGCGTGTATACCACCCTATTTAAATACTAGCAGACCCTCGACTTGCCTTCGACAGCGGCAAAGCTTGGGGTGATGAATCAGCCCCCAATAGCTGGTGAAGTTGATTGTAGATCGGAAGAGGGCCAGCAGCTGGAGAATCTAAGAACTGTCAGCCGGCAGGCTGCTCAGTCGCGCTGTTGGTTGCCATCCCCATGGAAGGAAATCTATCACCAGCCGTGAGTCAGGCCCGCTCAACGCCATCCTATATACGACGACTGGACAGCACGCATGCTCCCGGCCCTCGCAATCCATTCGAGACGCACGTAAACGGCGAGCCCACCGTGCCGAGGTCATAGCTGTCTATAATCGACTGCACACTGGCAGACACCTATGACGAAGAAAAGCAAAGTTCATTCCTCTTCGTATCACCTACGGGGTGATATGTGTTAACACGCGTATGTGCCGGCCACCAGAACGTACACCCCAAGCAATGTGAGGATGTAGTTAAGGAGCGTCTCGGCCATACGCCAGCCTGAGGCCCGGCCCATTTGTGCTCCCCGAGTCCAGATGGCGGGACGCTATCCCCCAATAAACGAACCTCCACATCGCCTGTTAGCACCGCACGCGCACCCCTCATCCTTGCACGCGTCCTGGCAACTCACCCGGACCAGCCATCTGCAAAGCGGCAATATTCCTGCGTTTAATACTTGTAGAAAAGGTAGGAACTTGATGTGAGGGAGGGAGGGACGCGCACCGAACGGCGAGATCGTGAGACAGCACGCCCGAGAAGACGGGTATCACGTCCACGATGGCCCATGCCAGGGCCCCACGTCGCTGTGATGATCCCCACCCATGCGGACCACGCAAGCACCGTATTCGAGTGCTTGTGCCGCGAGGAGTGGATGACGCGGAAGAAGACGCGGCGCACGGGGACGGACTACCATCGAGCGGTAATGTCACCGGCCATGAAGCAAGGAAGCAAGCTGAGATGACTGACGCACGGAGTATAACGACCCGAGGTAGATGATGGTGGGAATCGCGAAGCTGGTCGCGATCCTCTTGTAGATGGGCTGGAGGGTGCCCACGGCTGGCGTGGCAACGTAGTTGTTCCCTGTGTAGTGATCAGGGTGCCAGTGAACACGCTACCCTCGCCCAGGGTGACAGCCCAGAGGGCCGATCCAGGTGGATGCATAGTTTAATACAGAAGAAATGGAAGCATGAGGCGAAGGGGGTTAATAGAAGGAAGCAGGATACGTGTTTACCTGCTATCACGCACCTTTTGGAAAGTCCCTGGGGTCCCTCATTTCTGCTATGAACTGCAATGCGAGGTAAAGGCGGGCAGAACAACGCAGAGGAACGGCGACTAACTAGTACTCACGGTCGTAAGCGTAATCTGCCCGATGAAAGTATAGCTGATGTTCAGGAACGAAGACGTGCCTGTCCGCTCGGTCAATACCATCTTACACCTCGTGTGCCGCGGCGAACAGCAACCGGAAGTATAAGTTGTCACAGTCGGCGCAACGCCGGTATACCCCAACGGATGTGACTGCACGCCAGCAAAGACGATCATAAGCAGGGCGGAGATGCCCATAGTGGCTGCGGCGAAGGCGCCCAGCCCGCCGAGGTCGTTGAGCGTGCGCGGGAGGCTGACGAAAAGGCACATGACAACCTGAGGGCGCTGAAAGCGACTGTACACAGGGCTCCGTTTGAGATTGTGTTCAGAGGTTCTGCGCCTATTATGTAGTGTAGCGCTACATAAGGATCGTTCGTCGTGGTAGTAGGGAATGATGGAGGCCGGTACAGGGGAGGGGGGAATACATACCCTGGATGAATGTATTGTCCGGGTTGAACATGATAGCCGCCAGTTTATACGCTCTCTTGGATCCGCCGAACAGGACGCGTCCAATGTCGCACACGTCCCTGCCAGTGATCTCGAGATATTTCATACAGAGGCGCCAAAGTATCAGGGAGGTATACTGAACGCTTGTGGCAACGGGTATTGTCACGATTGCCCCTGGTGCGAGGCCCAGAACGGAATACTGGGAAGAGTAACGCCGTTGTCTGCCATGGCATAAGGTCAACATCCAATATCATCTGCAGCCGGATAGGCGAAGAGGTATTACCTTCTGCCAATAACATATTCTGTACTGGATTACCTGGCCACTCTCAAGAGCGATCTGAGTAGAAAGATCGTAGCTGAGTTCATTACTAGCTTCGTTCGATGCGGGCCTGCCAGGTCTTAAGCACGTCCCTTGAAGAGTACTTCAAGTCCGTCGGCGCTACTAAATCCGTCATACTGATGGGCGTCCGGGGCGACAGAAAGGGCGATCTTTCAGCACCTAGAGTATCTATAGACTGCCTGCACCAGGCTCCTAAACCATCCGTCCTTAGCGTTCTCGCTCCTCCTTTACTAGGGCGCACGTGCAGTGTTATGTAATACAAATCTATTTTTAATTTATTACCGGATACAGAACGAACAAGAGGAGGAGAACGCTATAGGACGGCTGGCACAAATGTCGTCGCCGAGATCCCCGAGGCTGACTAAGCGGACGGTGGCTGAAGCCTTTCAGCAGCGGTCGGCGGGCCTTCACGCAGCCATTTGCAACTTATTACCTTGGGATTTACCGCTCGGGGTACTTTATAGCAATGTAAAAATGTCCTGACTGAATGGTATACTCATGCAATGGTTATCAGTAGTACCGAAGGCTGAATATCCGGCTGAAGGGGCATAATGGCTATAGACAAGCCCCTCTGAGCGTCAGAAGTATACCAAAGGTATTTGCATTGGTCTTAACCCATTTTAGCACCCGTTTATATGTGTTCTGAGTGAGCTCGACGAGGTAAG